CACCCCCTGGCAACCCCCCAGGGCTCCCGAAATGCTGACCTACATGGTAGATTTAATATATCTCGACACGACTTGAAATACAGTGGTATAAAATCCTGGGATCTGTAGTTCTCGGTAGTCTTTGGCAGAGAAAGCTAAAGATTATGTAAAACCACAAGGTCTAATTTGCACATGGAGAATTTCACCCATCATTTGATTGAAACTGATATTTTGAACAGTGACCATATCCACAATAGTCAACTTTTTTATTACTGAAAAGCAGTTAGAAAACCTTGTCTTCCCGAATAATGTTCAAAGTACATTACAGTAACATTGTAAAATCGGCTCATTAAAGACCCATGAAGTAACAGACACATCAAACACTTGCAACAATGTACAGCTGCAGTCTATGGGAAATTCCCTTTTCTGCCCTGGATTTTGCAAATCTGCTGAAACAACAAGGATGGATCTGAAGCAGCAAGCAAAAAGAACAGCGGATATGCAACAGCACTAAGCAAACTCTTTCCCAATTCGTTAACTACCTCCTTTAAGAAGCTGAGGGTAAGCCTGATAAAATGTGTATTTTGCACTACAGGAAACTGGTCTGATCCATCATAACTTCCCTCAGATAGTCAAAATAGATGTTTGTTGCTGATAGGTTTGATAGGACAGGACCCCAATGAAAAAAAAATATGGAATGGAAACAAGTGAAGTATACTCAGCCAACCCTCTGAATCCACAGGTTCTGTATCCATGATTTCAACCAAGCAGTTTGAAAGCATTTGGATGAAATATTCCAAAAAGCAAATCCTGACTTTTCTATGCACCGAGCCCTATCTATGCCCTTCTTTAGACGTAACAATTTCATATATCCTCCAGCTGTCTCCCGCATTTGTCTGTGTTATTTGGGTTGCTGTAAGTTTTTTGGGCTGTACAGCCATGTTCCAGAAGCATTCTCTCCTGACGTTTCGCCAGCATCTATGGCAAGCATCCTCAGAGGTTGTGAGGTCTCTAGGAAACTACAGAAATGGGGTTTATATATCTGTGGAATGTCCAGGGTGGGAGAAAGAACTCTTGTCTGTTGGAGGCAGGTGTGAATGTTTCACGAACCAAGGAAAATGAAAGGCACTGCAGACCGGGTTGTCACAAGCAAAATCTGACTACAGTATTAAAACACTCTAAAATCATAACAGTAAAGAAAGACAGGGGAGCTCCCAGACAAGAAAAAATCAGGGACAGCTAATCACTTCTCAACAAAGGATTCCCCTAGGCAGTAAGAAGTCAGCCATTGAAACTGCTAGGCCATTAAATGCTAATCAAGGTGGCCAATTGAAAAAAATCATACCTAGCACCAACAGACAAGAGTTCTTTCTCCCAACCCTGGACATTCCACAGATATATAAACCCCACTTGCCTAGTTTCCAACAGATCTCACTTCTAAGGATGCCTGCTATAGATGCAGGCAAAACAGCAGGAGAAAATGCTTCTGGAACCTGTCCAGACATCCCAAAAAACTTATAGCAACCCAGTGATTCCAGCCATGAAAGGCTTCGACAAAACTCTGTGTCATTTGCCATTTTATAAAATGGTACCATTGTACAAAACCATTGTATATAATGGGACTTGTGCATCCTCCAATTTTGGTATCCAGAGGAGGTCCTGCATCCAAAGCCTAGCGAATACCGAGGGCACACTATATACAAAAATAAATGCAAGACAGAAGAAATGATGCAAGGAAGTGGAGAGAAGATTTAAATAACCTCGAAGTAGATGAGGAAGCCATTAGAATAGTTATTGATTTTCTATATCTTGGCTAGTCATCAATCTAAGTGGAGACTGTAGTCAAGAAATCAGACTCCTCTGAGGTAACCAAGCGCTCTCCTCCTCCCAAGGTTTATCTTTGATTTCTGGACACTGCAATAGTTTCTTGCGTGCAACACATGTCTTAACACTGTCGAGTTCATTTGAACTACCATGGCTGCATTTTCCACAATGCTGAGCTTTGTAGTTTCACGAGACACCAGATCTTTCTAGAATATAATTTTGGAAACAATACAAATTGAGTATCTGCAAAGGATACATTCGTGGACATACCGTGGAAAGATAAAACCATGGGTAATTGCAAATTCTATTGCAATAGAGGACTTCCAGCAGAGACATACTATAGAATCATGCTGCAGGATCTAGAAAATACCTAGATAAAACACTTCTGGAGGATTTCTAGGTCCTCCAGTGCAACTTTTGTGTTCAACTTCCAGCAGAAGCAAACCATAGAATCATACTTGATTGGAATGAGGGAAGTTTGAATGAACAGAAAGGTAAACAAGGTGGGTTACAGGATTTGTCACAGGAGCTGTAGCTGAATAAAATGAATGACAAGAAAGAAGCAAAAATGCAGATTACTCCATAGACTCCTGGGCAATTCAGAGCCCATAACCCCTTTGAAAGTCCAAATGATTATATTTCGAATCTGGGGAGAGTGCGGGTGAGCTCCCTCTGTGGGAGGCTTCTCTCATGTCTGGCTCACCATGCAGAGACATGAGAGAAGCCTCCCACAAGGATGGTAAAAGATCAAAACATCCGAGCATCCTCTGGGCAACGTCCTTGCAGACAGCCAATTCTCTCACACCAGAAGCGGCTTGCAGTTTCTCAAGTCACTCATGACACACACAAAAAGGAAGTTGAAATCGGCAGCAAAGAGTGTAATGGGCCATGAATAATCTGGAAACTATCTGGTGCAAACCCCCAACTTGCAAAACCAACAAGAAAAGGCATCTCAAATCCAGATAATAAGTGAACAAGCTTCCAGGTATGCAAGACCCGCCACCTCACCTTCTTTATGTCAGCTGAGAGAGTCAACAGAGTATTTCCTCATCTCATTTGCTGCAAGGAAGCCTCTCCTGAGATTTCTTCCCTATTTAGAGATACAGTAGTCTCGCTTATCCAACCTTCACCCATCCAACATTCTGTATTATCCACTGCAGCCTGCGTCCTGCCCGGATCAACAGCAAATTCAAAACATTGCAATGTTTTGGTGCTAAATTCGTAAATACAGTAATTACTACATAACGTTACTGTGTATTGGACTGCTTTTAATGTTGATGTGTAGTAAAACATGATGTTTTGGCCCTACCTATCTTCAAAATACCTATCCTATTTCACCTGGTCATGCCCAGCTTTTTTAAACAATTTTAATTATTACACTTGGCCCTGCCATAGGTTCTTTTAATGCATCGTGGTGTTATTGTTGATGTTTACTGCTTGTTTATGAGTTTATTTATTGTTGTATTGTTGTTGTTGTTTTACTGATGTATTTGGGCTCGGCATCTTGTAAGCCACACCGAGTCCTTTCGGAGATGGTAGCGGGGTACAAATAAAGGATTATTATTATTATTATTATTATTATTATTATTTGTAAAATCATAATGTAATTTGACATTTAATAGACTTCTCCTTAATCCCTCCTTATTATCCTACATTTTTGCTTATTCAACGTTCTGCCGGCCCATTTATGTTGGATAATCAAGACTCTACTGTAATCTGACAATTTATTTTATTTATTTTATTTTATTTACTATATTTGTATACTGCCCTTCTCAGCCCTCAGGCGACCCTCTACTTTTGATGCCCATTCAGGGTTAGAACGTCTTCCACTGGAAATTAACCACAGTGCACCAAATCCACAAGGTTCAAGCCCAAAATATGGAGTGCTCGTATAGCCAAGTGCTTAATTACATTCTGGAAAGTCATCTGGTGCCAGTCTATCGCTATTTCTAAACTGAGTACGACAAGCTTGCTCTAAGGCAAAAGGTTTTTAAGGCAGGCTATGCAAAGAATGCAGACAATCCCATGTCGCAAACGTGCTCTTTGTTTGTCCAGGGCTGACTCCTACCCATTGCCCAGAGGCAGGAGAGGTATCAGTAAACAAAAGGAAAGGAGAATATTCACCTCTTGCTGGACAGCAGTGTTGACATGAAAATGAAAGTCATTGTTTTTGGTCATTCTTTCCAAGCTTTGTCTGCTGTCTTCTTAAAAAGAGAAGACTTCAGACACAAACAACAAATTGGCAGTACAGAACTCACACAAGCTTGGTGCTGATGTTGCACAAACATGGGTTGTTGTAGGTTTTTTTGGGCTATATGGCGATGGTTTAGAGGCATTCTCTCCTGACGTTTTGCCTGCATCTATGGCAAGCATCCTCAGAGGTAGTGAGGTCTGTTGGAACTAGGAAAAAGGGTTTATATATCTGTGGAATGACCAGGGTGGGACAAAGGACTCTTGTCTGCTGGAGCTAGGTGTGAATGTTTCAACTGGCCACCTTGATTAGCATTTGATTGCCTGGCAGTGCCTGGAGCAATCTTTTGTTGAGAGGTGATTAGATGTCCTTGTTTGTTTCCTCTTGTTTTGCTGTTGTAATTTTAGAGTTTTTTTAATACTGGTAGCCAGATTTTGTTCATTTTCATGGTTTCCTCCTTACTGTTGAAATTGTCCACATGCTTGTGGATTTCAATGGCTTCTCTGTGTAGTCTGACATGGTGGTTGTAGGAGTGTTTTTTAAATACAATTTCAACAGAAAGGAGGAAACCATGAAAATGAACAAAATCTGGCTACCAGTATTAAAAAACCTCTAAAATTACAACAGCACAACAGAGAGGAAACAAACAAGGACATCTAATCACCTCTCAACAAAAGTTTGCTCCAGGCACTGTCAGGCCATTATATGCTAATCAAGGTGGTCAGTCGAAACATTCACACCTAGCTCCAGCAGACAAGAGTCCTTTGTCCCACCCTGGTCATTCCACAGATATATAAACCCTTTTTCCTACTTCCAACAGACCTCTGAGGATGCTTGCCATAGATGCAGGCGAAATGTCAGGAGAGAATGCCTCTAGACCATGGCCATATAGCCCGAAAAAACCTACAACAACCCAGTGATTCCGGCCATGAAAGCCTTCGACAATACACTGCACCTACATGTTGGCACTCCATTAAACATAAGCCCTCTTAGTCCACAACTGAGACCTGTTTTAAGGCACATAGAACTCACCTGTATTAGAAACAGGATTGTTGTTATCTTGTGGATAAAGAAAGCTTTTTGACCCCACATTGTAACAGCACAGAAAATGATCAACAGCTTGTTAAAGATTACCAGCAGTTTGTACACCAATGCTATTGAAAACTTTCTCCCCCTTGGTCCGGTTTTTCTTGGTTCTCCTGTTAGGCAGGGTGGTGAGGAGGTAAAATGCAGGAATGGGTACCTGGCAAATAGTAATACCTCTTGAGCAGATGAACCTGTCTTTACCTTTCACCCTTAACACCACCCACATTTTTAAAACTGGCCCCGTTTTGAAGCAGAATGTTGTTTCAACCGTTGCTTGGGGTGAAGGTGAAGAGAGATCGGCTGATCCTCCTTCTTGAAAACATAGTCCAGCCAAAGCAAGAGATGCCCAGTCTCGACGCTTGGCCTCAGGGCAGCAAGAGGGACTTGGCCAGCCGCATCCAGAACCATTTTTTGGTGGCAGGGTTGGTGTAGTCGCAAACGGTGATGAACCTCAAGATGCTTGGGAACTCCTTCTTCATGGTCTTGCACTTCACCGGGATGAGGCGCTTGAGGCGAGCCCCTGGAAGAACAAAGCGGCATGGAAGTGGGGTGGAAAAGACACATCATTTCCCAAAACACACTTCACCCCCAACTGCTTTTCCTACGGAATACATGAAGGTACCTTATGCTGAATCAGACTATTATGGGTAAGTGCAAGAGACACTTCCCTTGTAAGAATCACCCCACCAGCTCAAGAGGTATCTTGAGCAATGATCAATCTATTTGCCCCAAAGAACTGGGAAATTGTTGTTCCTGGTCTCATGATGTTTGGTCTCATGTCTAACAGGCTGCATTTTTTTTTTAGTAGTAGTTAAGTCATAATTCGTGTTTATATGTTGGGTTGTTAAATTTTGTTAGTATGGATGTATTGTTGTTGTATTCAGGCATTGAATGTCTGCCTTTTATGTTTGGAATCCGCTCTGAGTCCCTCCGGGGAGATAGAGTGGAATATAAATAATAATAATAATAATAATAATAATAATTATTATTATTATTATTATTATTATAAACACAACAAGATGAGTCCACAGCAGACACTCTGCTGGCTGTTGAATTGGATCACACGTCGGACACCTCCCAAGTGTCTAGGACTGTGTGATGTATTGGCGAATAATGCGTGCAGATCCCAGTAAGGTGGCCTTCTGCAGTTGGCAGATGGTAATTCTGTCAGTGCCGATTGTCTTTAAGTGCAGGCCAAGGTCTTTAGGCACTGTACCCAGTGTGCCGATCACCACTGGGACCACCTTTACTGGTTTGTGCCAGAGTCTTTGCAATTCGATTTTTAAATCCTCATATCATGTCAGCTTTTCCAGTTGCTTCTCTGCAACCCTGCTGTCACCTGGGATTGCAACATCGACAATCCATACTTTGTTTTTTAACACGATTGTGAGACCAGGAGTATTACGCTCCAAAACTCTGTCTGCCTGAATCCGAAAGTCCCAGAGGAGTTAGGAGTTATCTATCCGGGGAGATAATAATAATAATTATTATTATTATTATTATTATTATTATTATTATTTGAAACACAACAAGATGAGTCCACAACAGACAAGATCACTCTGCTGGCTGTTGTATTGGATCACACATCGGACACTTCCCAAGTTTCTAGGACTGTGATGTATCAGCGAATAATGTGTGCAGATCCCAGCAAGGCGGCCTTCTGCAGCTGGCAGATGGTAATTTTGTCAGCGCCTATTGTGTTTAAGTGCAGGCCAAGGTCTTTAGGCACTGCACCCAGTGTGCCGATCACCACTGGGACCACCTTTACTGGCTTGTGCCAGAATTTTTGCAGTTCGATCTTTATTATTATTATTATTATTATTATTATTATTATTATTATTATTATTCATAATCTCATTCCTGGTATGACAGCAGGTGTATTAAGCTGAACGCAAAAAGGGAAAGTGGGGGAAAAAAGAAAAATACTGCTACATACACAAGAAGCTGAAAACAGTGGAATGAAAGGGATGAACTGAGACTGTCCGTGCTAAACAGCTGGAATGTTTGAGTCTGGCCCAAATCATGACCAGATAGGAACCTTCCTGACACTCTTTTGACCAAGATGCAGCCCAAAGCAGAGACAATTTGGAGACACAGGAGGTTTGTTGGCTTTGAGGGAATGGCAGATGCTTCGAAGGCCCCAGAAATGGGGTGGAGGTGTATTTCCCCACCCCTAATCTATGTGATACAATCCACCCAAGTGTTTCTTTACTTAACAACTAACCTGGTGAGAGGCTGAGAGCAAACTTGGTTTGGAAATCACATTCTTCACTATCCAGGTAATCATCTGAGATGACTACCACCATTCTCCGGCAGCTGCAGCAAAATAGAAAAGGAAGAGTGCGCATTAAAGAGAGACCCTCAAGAAGAAGAACATCAGCTTGGTTGAGGGGTAAACTATTGGAAATAGCAACCTTCTACAAGTCTTCGATACTAGTTATTTGTTATAATTCAGATTGCTTACTATATTGTATGTATATTTTGATTTGCAGTTTTGCCTTAACTCTATGTTGTTTGAGGTTGTGGGAGGGATCTGGCCATGCGATCAAATCTGGGACTATTCAGACTGAGACTCCATTTTAGAAGTGAGTTTGCATCAGAAGCAGTACAGCACAGTTTAGAAGTCAGTAGTATCAGTATGCTGCAATGTGTAGTCAGTCTGTATTGAGTCAATGTTCAGTAATGTATTAGACTGGAGAGGGTGTTAGTCTGTATGTAACAAAGAAGAGACTGAAACAGAATGCTTTCGAGAACTTACTGATTAAACTATCAACCAATAAGAAATGTCCCTGTATGCTGAATACATGAAGCTTGTAAGTAAACCAACTATATTACTTTAAATGAAGACTACTTATTTTTGGTCTCTTGGGAGCATGATTTAAAAGCAATATATTTGATGGGAAAGCAGTTCTTTTGGGTAATTGTAATAACACTTCTAAAGATCTGCTGCATATTTTGTGCATTGGCATAATCTTTGTTCCTAACAGTTCAAAGAATTACCAGGTATATCAGTCTAACAACTGAGAAGCCTAATTCGCTTTCCATGAATACTTGTGGATATTTACCACTAAGGAGAAGATTCACTCAAACGAGAATTTAACTCTTTTCAAGAAGTTACTTTACAGAAGGTTATGATTATTCCAAATAATGTGAATGCCAATTAATCTCCAAAAGGGTCACGCTTCCAAAAGGCTATGGAGATTTCTGGATTTCCAAAAGGTTATAGTCTCTAAATGGGTATGCTTTTCTAAAAGAAACAGGGCATTTAAGATTATTTTTGACAAACAGTCTTGAAAGATCAGGAGTTAGAAAACAGGAAAGCCAATCCTCAATCGATGCCAAGGACCCACTGGGCCTGTATTTGCAAAAATCCTGGAGATGGAGCCCAAGCCTAAACCCAATATTCACTGACACCTTATATGCAGAGCCTGAAGGTACAGTAATTTAATACACTATTTTTAATTATTTTGTGCATGAAAATAGTTTCTATACTCTATGCTGATGATCGTGTCATCACCGCTCACACAGGGAGTTTTGAAATGGTTGAACAGAACTGCCGCAAATGAGTTTTTCACTCTTCTTAGGAGACTCCTGGCTTTCCCAAATGGTTATGGTCTCTAACAAGGTCATGCTTTTCCTATGACCATTGGTTTTCCAAAAGGTTATGAATCCCATTTCCAAAAGGTTATGGGGATTCATATTTTCAAAAAGTTAAGGAGGCAAAAATAAGTGAATATTCTTCATATTTGTCTTACCGCCTCTCTATCAGTTCACTCGTGATGGACCACACGCAGGTTCCTGGGAGGACATCTCGGTCAAAGACACAGAGCTTCACCCTGTGGTCGGTCTGCTCCAGCTCTTGGATCATTTCTTGAACGAAGGGGAGGTCACTCTGGCAGTAGCAGATGAAGGCATCAAACTTCTCTGGGAATTGCCCTGCAAAAAAGGAGAAGACGAGAAAGTGTTGTTGTTGTTATACAGCTTAATGGTGTAATGTTAGAAAATGTTGACCATTTCTGCGATCTTGGCAGCCAACTCTCCACAAAAGTCAAATTTGTTTATTTATTTACTGTATTTGTATACCGCCTTTCTCAGCCTATCCATGACTCAAGGCAGTTTACAACAAATCAGTACACATAATATCACAATGCAAATTAAAACATTAAAGCAATATAAAACCACAACAGAAGCAATAAAAACCAACACCAATTAGCGTATCCTTGTTTTAAAAAATGTCCAATTCCATCGTCTAGTCATTCGGTTTCCTATGTCAGTTTGCATTTGTAAACGCTAGCTCAAAAAACCATGTTTTAACTTTTCTCTGAAACATTAAGAGGTAGGGAGCCAATCTGATATTCCTAGGGAAGGCATTCCATAGCCAAGAGGCCACCACTGAGAAGGCCCTGTCTCTCGTCCCCGCCAAACGTGCTTGTGATGAAGGCGGGATCAAGAGCAGGGCCTCCCCAGAAGATCTTAAGGTCCTAGATGGTTCATAAGGGGAGATACGTTCGGACAGGTAGATTGAGCCAGAACCATTTAGGGCTTTATAAGCTAAAGCCACTACTTTGAATTATGCCTGGTAGCAAACTGGCAGCCAGTGGGGCTGGCGCAACAGAGGAGTTGTATGCTCCCTGTGCACCGCTCCTGTTAACAACCTGGCTGCTGTCTGTTGGGTCATTTGAAGCTTCCGGACAGTCTTCAAAGGCAACCCCACGTAGAGCACATTGCAATAGTCTATACAGGATGTAACCAGAGCGTGGACTACTGTGGCCAAGCCAGACTTCCCAAGGTACATGTGCAGCTGGTGCACAAGTTTTAACTGTGCAAATGCTCCCCTGGTCACCACCGAAACTTGGGGTTCCAAGCTCAGCGATGCATCCAGAATCACTCCCAAGCTGAGAACCTGCGTCTTCAGGGAGAGTGTAACCTCGTCCAACACAGGCTGTAACCCTATGCCCTGTTCGGCCTTACGACTGACCAGGAGTACCTCGGTCTTGACTGGATTCAATTTCAATTTGTTCACCCTCATCCAGATCATCACAGCGGCCAAGCACTGGTTCAGGGCCTGAACAGCCTCCTTAGTAGCAGGTGGAAAGGAGTGACAGAGTTGGACATCATCTGCGTACAGATGACACCGCACCCCAAAACTCCAGATGATCTCCCCCAGCAGCTTCATGTAGATGTTAAACAACATGGGGGATAGTATTGAACCCTACAAGACAATGGTTGTGGGGTTGAACAGTTGTCTCCCAATAACACCTTCTGAGTGTGACCCTCCAGAAAGGACTCGAGCCAATGTAAAACAGTGCCTCCCAGGTCCATTCCAGCAAAGCGTCTCAGAAGGATATTGAGGTCAACGGTATCGAAGGCCACTGTGAGGTCCAGCAGAATCAACAGGGCCACACTCCCCCTGTCTAGCTTCCGACGTAGATCATTGACTAAGGTGACTAAGACTATCTCGGTTCCATGTCCAGGTCTAAAGCCAGACTGTGCCGGATCCAGATAATCCGTGTCTTCCAAGAATACCACACATTCCATGGCTTTGCCCAAGAAGGGGAGATTGGAAATAGGCCTATAGTTGACGAATTGACACTGAAATACAACATTGCCTGAGCTCTGCGAGTGCAGCATTGTTCCAAATGAAACAGAGAGTGTTTGAGGACTGGGACATCCATAGGGAGACCAAGGTGCTTGTTTATAAAGCTATTGTCCTCCCAACCCTGCTATACACCTGCAAAACATGGATTGTCTAAAGACGTCACTCTCCTGGAATGATTACATCAGCGTTGCCGCTGAAAAATCCTGCAAATCTCTTGGGAAGACAGGCGGACAAATGTCAGCGTGCTGGAAGAAGCAAAGACCACCAGCACTGAAGCGATGGTCCTCTGCCATCAACTCTGCTGGACCGGCCACGTTGTCCGGATGCCTGACCACCGTCTCCCAAAGCAGTTGCTCTACTCTGAACTTAAGAACAGAAAACAGAACGTTGGTGGACAGGAAAAGAGATTTAAAGATGGGCTCAAAGCCAACCTTAAAAACTCTGGCATAGACACTGAGAACTGGGAAGCCCTGGCCCCTGGCCGCTCCAGCTGGAGGTCAGCTGTGACCAGCAGTGCTGCAGAATTCGAGGAGGCACGAGTGGAGGGTGAAAGAGAGAAACGTGCCAGGAGGAAGGCGTGTCAAGCCAACCCCGACCGGGACCGCCTTCCACCTGGAAACCAGTGCCTTCACTGTGGGAGAAGATGCGGGTCAAGAATAGGGCTCCACAGCCACCTACAAACCCACAAGAATACTCATAATGGAAGACTATCTTACTCGTCCAACGAGGGATCGCCTAAGTGTCCAAATTTGGTGTCGATTCCCCCAGTGGTTTTTGAGTTCTGTTAATTCCACAAACGAACATTACATTTTTATTTCGATAGATAGCTAGGTGGGATGGCAAGAATGGAGAAAAGGTTGCATTCTATTCCATTCCATTGAAACCAATGCTGTCAAGGAAAGCATGATGATTACCCATGGGGTAGATCATCCAAGCCAGCTGCTTTGCCATTTTTACATTTATTGAGAGCCATGTCCAATTCAGTAGATGTAAAGGGTTCATGAAGGTTGTTGTTCTCAATCTCTGATTGTCTGGCTATTGGTTTCTTTCCTACTTTGGTGGCAAGGTTGGGTTTCCCATTCTTCAAGAGTTGGTGTGCTATCTGATCTGCCTTTATGTTGGCATGGGTATTAGTCTGTGAGGGATCGTTGCTCAGCCGTCCCAGCAGCCTCCACGCCTTCTGGCTGCTCCTGCACATGTCGACCTCTGTGATCAACTTGATCCACTGTTCTTTCTTGGCTTCAGAGATGGAGGACACAATGTTCTGCGCTGCCTGAAGAGTCTGCTCACTAAATGGGTCTTCGTTGTGGAGCCTGTAATAGTTTTCCAACAAGGCAGCTGTTTCAGGAGTAATGCCCTGGAGGTAGTGGGTTCTGCAGCCTCTCGGTATAGAGGCCCGTGAGCAGGTTTTCACTATTTCAATAAAATGTTCGTATTCCTCAGGGATTGGCGCGACCGATGTGATCATGTCGTCTAACATGTCTGAGAATTTAGTCCAATCTGCCTTTCTGAAGTTGAATCTTTGTTTAAATCGAACTTCCTGAGGCCTTATTGTTGGGAACAGTTGGCATACTATTGGTCGGTGCTGTGTGTTTGGGATTGGTGGTCCCACTGATTTGGTGCATTGCTGTACGATGCTGTCGCTCACAAATAAGAGGTCTGGGTTATAACCTCGGTGCCATCTCCCGCTGTTGTAGGATGGTGGGAGCTTGCTATCATGGATGAGTGATAGTTTGTGCAGTTCAGACCAGGACAGGACAGCCTCTCCATTTCTGTCCTCTTGGGCATAGCCCCATACATGGCTATGGCTGTTGAAGTCACCAATTACTACCGCCCTTTGGTGCCTATCAAAGTTCTCGGGGAAGGAGAAGCAGAACTCTTCATTTGGGGGCTTGTACACAGAGGTGATGGTGATGTTATTAAGCTCTACTGTTATAACCTCGATATTGTTTTCTTCAGTGTTGTGGGCACTGCTGACTTGGAGGCCTGGTTTGACAAAGACAGCACTTCCATACTGCGCATGTGGTCTTTCCGCTACTAGGATCATTCCTGGAACTTTGGGTCGTTTCTGTCGTTCATCCCTGTGTGTTTCTTGGACACACAGCATGTCACATTTCTTATCTCGGCACAGTTCATAGAGCAGTTGTTCTTTGGCAGCTGACATGCCTTCGATGTTGATTGCGATTATTGTCATGGTTGGTCCTGAAAAGGACCGTTGGTTGTTTTGCTTCCTTGTTTGCATGCTTCAAGTCGTCTCTGGTTGCTTCTGGATTGAGAGAATCGGCCGTCTACGAAGACGTTGCCCAGGGGACGCCCGGATGTCTTGCAATCCTGCGAGGAGGCTTCTCTCATGTCAGAACATTGTGTCTTCCATCTCTGAAGAACAAATCAAGAACTTTGGTCCAAAAGCAAGGCGCTGGCTGCTGGAGCTGATGAACAACTGCACTGCATCCTGTCAGATCCCCAAAATCTGGAGGAAAGCAAGAGTCATCGCCATCTTGAAGCCAGGCAAAGACCGTAATGACCCAAAAAGCTACAGACCAATCTCCCTGTTGTGCCACCTCTACAAAGTTCTGGAGAGAATTATTTTGCATAGAATTACGGAAAAAATAGACCCCTGACTGATCCCACAGCAAGCTGGCTTCAGAAAAGGCAAAAGCTGCACATCGCAAGTGTTGAACCTGACTCAGCACATAGAAGATGGCTTTGAAAGGCAGCAGATCACAGGAGCTGTCTTCATAGACCTGTCAGCAGCCTATGATACTGTGAACCACCGCCTCCTCCTGAGAAAAATGTATAATATCACAAAGGACGACCACCTCACCCGCCTCATAGGAAACCTGCTACAAAACAGGAGCTTTTTTGTTGAGTTCCAGGGCCAGAGAAGCAGGATGGCGGAAACAGAAGAACGGCCTGCCTCAGGGGAGCGTGCTTGCTCCATCCATGTTCAACATCTACACAAATGACCAGCCACTGCCAGAAGGGACAGAGAGTTTCATCTATGCTGATGATCGTGCCATCACGGCTCAAGCAGGGAGCTTTGAGATGGTAGAACAGAAGCTCTCTGAAGCTCTAGGTGCTCTTACTGCCTATTACAGGGAAAACCAGCTGATCCCTAATCCATCTAAAACACAGACATGTGCTTTTCATCAAGAACAGACAAGCATCCCGAGCTCTGAGGATTATCTGGGAAGGAATCCCACTGGAGCATTGCAGCGCACCCAAACACCTGGGAGTCACTCTGGACCGTGCTCTGACCTACAAGAAGCACTGCCTGAACATCAAACAAAAAGTGGGCGCTAGAAACAATATCATACGAAAGCTGACTGGCACAACCTGGGGATCACAACCAGACACAGTGAAGACATCTGCCCTTGCGCTGTGCTACTCCGCTGCGGAGTATGCATGTCCAGTGTGGAACACATCTCACCACACTAAAACAGTGGGTGTGGTTCTTAATGAGACATGCCACATTATCACGGGGTGTCTACGCCCTACACCACTGGAGAAATTACACTGCTTAGCCGGTATTGCACCACCTGACATCCGCCGGGAAGTAGCAGCCAATAGTGAAAGGACCAAGGCAGAGACATCTCCAGCTCATCCCCTGTTTGGGTATCAGCCAGCACGTCAACGACTTAAATCAAGACATAGTTTTCTAAGATCTACAGAGGCACTCGCTGGAACACCTCAGCAAGCGAGAGTCCAAAAGTGGCAGGCTCAAACCCAGAACCTCAACCAATGGCTGATACCAAATGAGAGACTCCCCCCTGGGCACACAGAAGACTGGGCGACTTGGAAGGCGCTGAACAGACTGCGCTCTGGCACCACGAGATGCAGAGCCAATCTTAAGAAATGGGGCTACAGGGTGGAATCCTCGGCATGCGAGTGCGGAGAAGAACAAACCACTGACCACCTGCTGCAATGCACCCTGAGCCCTGCCACATGCACAATGGAGGACCTTCTTGCGGCAACCCCAGAGGCACTCCAAGTGGACAGATACTGGTCAAAGGACATTTAACCAAATACCAAATTTGCAAAATCTGTGTGGTTTTTTTTCTTTTTCTTTTTAATCTCTGTGTTTGTTTTGCTCTGTTAGAATTGTAATACAATGGTTGCTGATGACATGATAAATAAATACCCGTGGGGTCATCCTGGGTGGTGATGCCCCGCATTTCGGATGTCCGTGGGAAGCTGCTGTCCACCGCCGGGACCTGAACCGGCCGCTCTGTCTGCTCCTCTCGCTTCCTCTTCAGGTATTTCTTGCAGTCCTCCTCTGCAAAGAGATCCAGAGATATCTCTTATCCACCGATACATTGGAAGAGACCCCAAAGGCCATCCAATCTGACCCCATTCTGCCATGCATACACTCCAAGCCCCCCCCCCCCCCCCCCCCCCCCCCCCCGGACAGATGTCCATCTAGCCTCTGTTTAAAAACCTCCTGAGAAGGAAGAAGGCAAAGGCAACCCATCCTCTGAACAAATCTTGACAGGAAAGCACTGTTGCAAGACGGGGGAGTCTCGCTTGGGGACAGAAACGGATGTGATGCAAATTCAGGGAAGAAGGAAGTCAGAAGGAGGAGGCAACCATCAAATAACCATTTTCAAATGACATACAAGAAGGAAGATTGGGAAGGGCAGCCTCTCAAAACACACTGGGGTTGCTTCAGCTTTGCCAGAAAAAGGGGAAAAAAGGAGGGCTACCTCTTAAGGGAAAAAAACCCTACAAACAGACAGTAATGGGAGGAAAAGGAAGCTTTTCAAAGTTCTACAACTCCGGGACTACAACTCCCAGAATCCCCCAGCGTCACTTTTCCCTCCACAACTCCTAGATGCCCCCAGGTCACATTTCCACCACACTACAACTCTTAGATTCTCCATCCAGCACTTTTCCCGGACTACACCTCCCAGAATCCCCCTGCCAGAAGGTCTCCCTCTCAGAAGTATAAGATTCAGAAGTGAGGGTAGGGGGATTCTGAAAGTTGTATTCTGGAAAAAGTTGCTTGCTAAAGAATCTGGGACATTCTGGGAGTTATCTAGGTGGCAATGCTAACTGGGGCATCCTAGGAGTTGTAGCTTGGACAAAGACGTGCAGCCTAGGGATGCTGGAAGTTGGAGCTTGGATGGAAATGCCAGCTGGGGCATCCTGGGAGTTGCAGTTTGGGTGAAAATGCCAGTTGGGGCAACCTGGGAGTTGACATTTGGGCGGAAATGCTATCTGGGACATCCTGGGAGTTGTAGTTTGGGTGGAAATGGCAGCTGGGGCATCCTGGGAGTTGTATTTTGGGTGGAGATGCTAGCTGGCACACCTTGGGAATTCTAGTTTGGGCAAAGAAGAGCAGCCTAAGGAAGCTGAAAGTTGTCGTTTAGATGGAAATAATAGCTGGGGCGTCCTGGGAGTTGCAATATGGGTGGAAATGTTATCTAGGGTGTCTTGGGAGCTATAGTTTGGGTGGAAAGGCCAGCTGGGGCATCCCGGGAGTTGTAATTTGGGTGGAGATGCCAGCTGGGGTGTCCTAGGAATTGTAGTTTGGGCAGAAATACTAGTTGAGGCGTCCTAGGAGTTATATAGGTGCCAATGCTAGCTGGAGCATTATGGGAGCTGTAGTTTGGGCAGAAATGCTAGTTGAGGCATCCTAGGAGTTATATAGATGAGGAGCGGCTTAAGGAGCTGGGCATGTTTAGCCTGAAGAAGAGAAGGCTGAGAGGGGATATGATAGGCATGTATAAATATGTGAGAGGAAGCCACAGGGAGGAGGGAGCAAGCTTGTTTTCTGCTTCCTGGAGACTAGGACGCGGAACAATGGCTTCAAACTACAAGAGAGGAGATTCCATCTGAACATGAGGAAGAACTTCCTGACTGTGAGAGCCGTTCAGCAGTGGAACTCTCTGCCCCAGAGTGTGGTGGAGGCTCCTTCTTTGGAAGCTTTTAAACAGGGGGTGGATGGCCATCTGTCAGTGGTGATTTGAATGCAATATTCCTGCTTCTTGGCAGGGGGTTGGACTGGATGGCCCATGAGGTCTTTTCCAACTCTTTGATTCTATGATTCTATAGGTGGCAATGCTAGCTGGAGCATTATGGGAGCTGTAGTCTGGACGGAAATGCTATCGGGGCACCCTGGGAGCTGTAGTTTGGGCGGAAAGGCCAGTCGGGGCATCCTGGGAGTCGTAATTTGGTTGGAAAAGCCAGTTGGGACACCCTGGGAGCTGTAATTTGGGTGGAATGGCCAACTGGGACGCCCTGGGAGCTGTAGTTTGGGTGGAAAAGCCAGTAAGGGCATCCTGGGAGTCGTAATTTGGTTGGAAAAGCCAGTTGGGATGCCCTGGGAGCTGTAGTTTGGGTGATCAACTGGGACACCCTGGGAGCTGTAGTTTGGGCGGAAAGGCCAGTCGGGGCATCCTGGGAGTCGTAATTTGGTTGGAAAAGCCAGTTGGGACGCCCTGGGAGCTGTAGTTTGGTTGGAAAAGCCAGTTGGGACGCCCTGGGAGCTGTAGTTTGGGTGGAATGGCCAACTGGGACGCCCTGGGAGCTGTAGTTTGGGTGGAATGGCCAACTGGGACACCCTGGAAGCTGTAGTTTGGGTGGAATGGCCAACTGGGACGCCCTGGGAGCTGTAGTTTGGGCGGAAAGGCCAGTCGGGGCATCCTGGGAGTCGTAATTTGGTTGGAAAAGCCAGTTGGGACGCCCTGGGAGCTGTAGTTTGGGTGGAATGGCCAACTGGGACGCCCTGGGAGCTGTAGTTCGGGTGGAACTGTTAGTTGGAGATGCAGACAGTTGCATAGGTGGAAAGGCTATTTGGGGGCATCCTGGGAGCTGTAGTTTGGGCGGAAATGCTAATTGGAGGTTCAGAGAGTTGCATAGCTGGAAAGGCAATTTGGGGGTGCCCTGGGAACTGTAGTTTGGGCGGAACTGTTAGTTGGAGATGCAGAGAGTTGCATAGGTGGAAAGGCAATTTGGGGGCGCCCTGGGAGCTGTAGTTTGGGCGGAACTGTTAGTTGGAGATGCAGAGAGTTGCATAGGTGGAAAGGCAATTTGGGGGTGCCCTGGGAGCTGTAGTTTGGGCGGAACTGTTAGTTGGAGAAGCAGAGAGTTGCATAGGTGGAAAGGCAATTTGGGGGCGCCCTGGGAGCTGTAGTTTGGTTGGAAATGCTAATTGGAGATGCAGAGAGTTGCATAGGTGGAAAGGCTATTTGGGGGCGCCCTGGGAGCTGTAGTTTGGACTGCTGCCTGCTCACCGATGCCGGGCGCGAGGTCTGCGAGGACGTCGTGCCTGTGGAGTCGTCGGAGGGCGTCGAGGAGTGTTCCGGCGGTGGCGGCAGTGGGGCTGGCCCTCCTCTCCCAGTCCTGGAGGAGCTGTGCCGTGGGGTCCGGGCGGGCCTCGAAGGCGCGGATCTCGAGGAACTCGTAGCCCAGCTCCTCGGCCAGCGAGGCCCAGTCCGCCGCCACCGCCGCGCCCGGGTTCAGCAGCAAGGACAGGCGCCGCCGCAGAGAGTAGTTCAGCGCCACCAAGGGCGCCCCCCGCCAACACCCCTCTTCGCCCTCTTCCCCCGACGAGCAAGGAGACCCGGCCATGGCTTCTCCCTCCAGCCACGCTCGCCCGCCCGCCCTGCCTTCCTTCCTTCCTCCTTCCGCCACTCTCCCATCGAGGAGGAGGAGGAGGAGCGCCAAACCGGTTTCGCTTTCGGTGCGCCCGGCACCTGTGGAGGTGTGGTTTTGCAAAGGTCCTTCCGCTTTCTCTGCTTTGCCAAAGCCCATGAATTGAGCCAGATGTGGGGGGTCAAGGTGTATTCATTCCTGTGGGGAAGGGGATTGGATGCAGCCACTTCCTGATCGATTCATAGAATCATAGAATCAAAGAGTTGGGAGAGACCTCATGGGCCATCATCCAGTCCAACCCCATTCTGCCAAGAAGCAGGAATATTGCATTCAAATCACCCCTGACAGATGGCCATCCAGCCTCTGTTTAAAAGCTTCCAAAGAAGGAGCCTCCACCACACTCTGGGGCAGAGAGTTCCACTGCTGAACGGCTCTCACAGTCAGGAAGTTCTTCCTCATGTTCAGATGGAATCTCCTTTCTTGTAGTTTGAAGCCATTGTTAAGTTCTATTATTTATTTATTTATTTCGAGGTTTTATATACCGACCCTCTCACCTTCAAAGAGGGATTCGGACCGGTTCACAACATGTGTTAACATACAAAAAATATACAATAACAACACAATGCCACTTCATTACACGATTAAAATATCAGCACCATACACATTAAAACATTATCATCCCAGTTAAAAGAGCCAAATCGTCCGACACCATCACAATCCCATTCATCCTCCTCCTTTCATGTGGGCAAAGAATTAAATCAGTTGTCAAATGCCACGTTCCACAACCAGGTCTTTGTTAGTTTCCTGAACGTCATGAGGGAGGGGGCAGTTCTGATCTCTAATGGCAGGGAGTTCCAAAGTCGAGGGGCCACCATCGAGAAGGCCCTGTCCCTCGTCCCCACCAGCCGTGCTTGTGCAGGCGGAGGGACCGAGAGCAGGGCCCCTCCAGATGATCTTAGTGGTCTTGATGGTTCATAGGGGAGAATACGTTCGGAGAGGTAAACAGGGCCGGAGTCGTTTAGGGCTTTATAGGTTAACACCAGCACTTTGAATTGTGCTCGGAAGCTAATCGGCAGCCAGTGGAGTTCGAGTAACAGCGGAGTGGTGTGCTCCCTGTACCCAGCCCCCGTTAGTAATCTGGCTGCCGCGCGTTGGACTTGCTGCAGCTTCCGGGCAGTCTTCAAAGGCAACCCCACGTAGAGAGCGTTGCAGTAGTCTAAGCGGGATGTAACCAAAGCGTGTACTACCGTGGCCAAGTCAGCCCTCCCAAGGTACGGACGCAGCTGGCGCACAAGTTTTAATTGTGCAAATGCTCCCCTGACCACCGCTGAAACCTGGGGTTCCAGGCTCAGCGATGAATCCAGGAGAACTCCCAGACTGCGTACCTGTGCTTTTAGGGGGAGTGTGACCCCGTCCAGCACAGGCTGTAACCCCGTACCCTGTTCGGTCTTACGACTGACCAGGAGTACCTCTGACACTTGCTCTTTGGACTCTGTTATTGAACTTTTGGCGTTTGACCACTAGACTGGACCCTTTTAACTACAGAGTTGTTTTTTATTCTGTGGCCGAGTACTATCTTTATGTTTTATATTTTGGTCTATTAAAACAGCCAGCAAGTAAGTGCTGTTTTAATTAAACTGTTTGATAAAACTGGGAGTTTGGTTCATCTCTATCTATATAAGGCAGAGCCCTGGCAACGCGACAGTTCCTTCTTGGGATTGACTGGGTTCTGCCAGCTTAGGATATGGGACTATAGTATAGTCACCTAATCCCTACACCAGTGTTTCTCAACCTGGGGGTCGGGACCCCTGAGGGGGTCGCGAGGGGGTGTCAGAGGGGTCGCCAAAGACCATAAGAAAACACAGTATTTTCTGATGTCATAGGGATTCCATGTGGGAAGTTTGAGCCAATTATATCGTTGGTGGAGTTCAGAATGTTCTTTGATTGTAATGAACTATAAATCCCAGCAACTACAACTCCCAAATGTCAAGATCTATTTTCCCCAGACTCCACCAGTGTTCACATTTGGGCATATTGAGTATTCGTGCCAAGTTTGGTCCAGATCTACCATCGCATGAGTCCACAGTGCTCTCTGGATATAGGTGAACTACAACTCCCAAACTCAAGGTCAATGCCCATCAAACCCTTCCAGTGTTTCCATTGGTCATGGGAGCCAAGTTTGGTTCAAATCCATCGCTGGTGGAGTTCAGAATGCTCTTTGATTATAAGTGAACTATAAATCCCAGCAACTACAACTCCCAAATAACAAAATCAATCCTCCAACCCCACTAGCATTCACATTTGGGTGTATTGGGTATTTGTGCCCAGTTTGGTCCAGTGAATAAAAATGCATCCTGCATATCAGATATTTACATTATATATTTACATTACATTATAACAGTAGTAAAATGACTGTTATGAAGTAGCAATGAAAACCATATTATGGTTGGGGGTCACCACAACATGAGGGACTGTATTAAGGGGTCACGGCATTGGGAAGGTTGAGAACCACTGCCCTACACTGATCCTGGCTTGAGTGGAAGAAAGCCGGTTCCCTGACCTGCCAGAGTCCAAAGAAGTTGACAGAAGCACAAAACACCTTAAACAACGCCTGGTGTCGGCATCTTCTCTTTACCCGATGTAACCTAACCATTTCCCCTGTTTGTCTCAGAGTTAAGCGGGGTGGAAAAAGAGGATCCCAACTCAAGCCTCTGCCCCCATTGCTACAATCTTCATATTTTTGGGGGTTGTTGTAGGTTTTTCAGGCTATATGGCCATGTTGTAGAGCAGTGGTTCTCAACCTGGGGGTCGGGACCCCTGCGGGGGTCGCCAGTGAGTGTCAGAGGGGTCGCCAAAGACCATCAGAAAACAGTATTTTCTGTTGGTCATTGGGTGTTCTGTGTGGGAAGTTTGGTCCAAATTAATTGTTAGTGGGGTTCTGAATGCTCTTTGAGTGTAGGTAAACTATAAATCCCAGCAACTACAACTCAAATGTCAAGGTCTATTTTCCCCAAACTCCACAAGTGTTCACATTCGGGCATATTGAGTATTCATGTCAAGGTTGGTCCAGATCTATCATTGTTTGAGTCCACAGTGCTCTCTGGATGTAGGTGAACTACAACTCCAAACTCAAGACCAATGCCCACCAAACCTTTCCCATGTTTTCTGTTGGCCATGGTAGTTTTGTGTGCCAAGTTTGGTTCAATTCCGTCGTTGTTGGAGTTCAGAATGCAATTTGATTGTAGGTGAACTATAAATCCCAGCAACTAGAACTCCCAAATGACAAAATCAAACACACACCCCCAACCCCACCCCTATCCAATTTTGGGCATATTGGGTATTTGTACCGAATTTGGTCCAGTGAATGGAAATACATCCTGCTTATCAGATAATTGCATTAAAATTAATAACAGGAGCAAAATTACAGTTACGAAGTAGCAAAATAATGTTATGGTTGGGGGTATTAAGGGGTCACAGCACTAAGAAGGTTGAGAAACACTGTTGTAGAGGCATTCCCTCTTGACGTTTCACCTGCATCTATGACAAGCACCCTCAGAGGTTGAGAGGTTGTGAGGTCAGACCTCACAACCTCTGAGGATGCTTGCAATAGATGCAGGTGAAACGTCAGGAGAGAATGCCTCTAGAACATGGCCATATAGCCAAAAAAACCTACAACAACCCAGTGATTCCGGCCATGAAAGCCTTTGACAATACATTCATATTTTTGGTTCTATGAAAGGAAAACAAATTACAAAAGTGAGGCATATTGCTGCCAATTTTGTTTATTTATCTTATAACACTTTTTTCCAAAGAGGCTTTATACCCCAGCCCTGAATTATTCCAGCGTCAGAAAATCAAGCCCAAAAGAACAATCTAATATACTAGATAAACCCAAACCTTTCCCAAAGGTAGAAAACATTCTTTTTTTAAAAAAAAACATACTAGAAATAAAATACATTCCACTGCAAAAAAGGCAAATATTGAAAGCAAGGGATCAGTTAGCTCAGGGTGGATACCCCGGTGGCACAGTGGGTTAAACCCCTGTGCCGGCAGGACTGAAGACCGACAGGTCGCAGGTTCAAATCCGGGGAGAGGCGGATGAGCTCCCTCTATCAGCTCCAGCTCCTCATTTGGGGGACATGAGAGAAGCCTCCCACAAGGATGATAAAAACATCAAATCATCCGGGTGTCCCCTGGGCAACATCCTTGCAGACGGCCAATTATCTCACACCAGAAGCGACTTGCAATTTCTCAGGGCAGCTTGTAGATTATGGTTATGTAACAGACCAACTCTTTTCTTTGGCATTTTGTTGCAAAAGATATATAATGTTAAGGATGAAAATATGTAAATATGGCAAAATTGCTCCTCTAGATCCTGGACCTGTTGGGGAATGGGGCTGCACTCACAAGCCATTTTTTATCAAAGTAAGAAATGACAAGAAGGTCACTTTTGGGAGTGCACTTATACCATGTAATTAATGCATTTTTACATCACTTTAAACTGCCGTGGCACAATGGTATGGGATCCTGGGATTTGTAGTTCCAATCAAATTTCTAGAGAGATGCCCACATTTCTAGAGAGACGGAAAGAGACAGAGCACAGATGCCATTCAGGTAGGATAGCTGCTAAAAATGCTGAGCTAATTGGGAGACACCCTAGCATCTCCAGCGTGGGGAATTCAGGGCTATAAACCAAAAGCAGGAGCAGTCAGCTTTCGCTGGGAACAACAACCCCGATACTGATGTTTTCACTCCAATGGAATCTGCTTTGTGTCTGCTATTAAGAACTTAGTTCATTGCCCGTTGTCTGATGGAAGACTGGTGTTTCTTTTGGGAACCTTGTAAGAGACTTTAATTTGTATCTGGATTAAGACATCCTTGTTTTCTTTTGCACTTTTCAATTGCATTTGCTTATCCTTTGTGTTTGCTGAAGTAAAGCATTTGCAGACGACACCAAATTGGGAGGGATAGCCAATAGTCCAGAGGACAGGAGTAGAATTCAAAACGATCTTGACAGATTAGAGAGATGGGCCAAAACTAACAAAATGAAGTTCAACAGTGACAAATGCAAGATACTCCACTTTGGCAGAAAAAATGAAATGCAAAGATACAGAATGGGGGATGCCTGGCTCGAGAGCAGGACGTGTGAAAAAGATCTTGGAGTCCTCGTGGACAACAAGTTAAACATGAGCCAACAATGTGATGTGGCGGCAAAAAAAGCCAATGGGATTTTGGCCTGCATCAATAGGAGCATAGTGCCTAGATCTAGGGAAGTCATGCTACCCCTCTATTCCGCTTTGGTTAGACCACACCTGGAATATTGTGTCCAATTCTGGGCACCACAATTCAAGAGAGATATTGACAAGCTGGAATGTGTCCAGAGGAGGGCGACTAAAATGATCAAGGGTCTGGAGAACAAGCCCTATGAGGAGCGGCTTAAGGAACTGGGCATGTTTAGCCTGAAGAAGAGAAGGCTGAGAGGAGATATGATAGCCATGTATAAATATGTGAGAGGAAGCCTCAGGGAGGAGGGAGCAAGCTTGTTTTCTGCTTCCTTGGAGACTAGGATGTGGAACAATGGCTTCAAACTACAAGAGAGGAGATTCCATCTGAACATGAGGAAGAACTTCCTGACTGTGAGAGCCGTTCAGCAGTGGAACTCTCTGCCCCGGAGTGTGGTGGAGGCTCCTTCTTTGGAAGCTTTTAAGCAGAGGCTGGATGGCCATTTGTCGGGTGATTTGAATGCAATATTCCTGCTTCTTGGCAGGGGGTTGGACTGGATGGCCCATGAGGTCTCTTCCAACTCTTTGATTCTATGATTCTATTTTACTTTCGGAAAAAAAAAATACGGTCATAGACCAGTCTAGGGATTTGTAGTCTGGTGAGGCATCAGCACTCTTTGGCAGTGAAGGCCTTGTAAAAAAAACTACAACTCCCATCATTCCATAGCATCGAGCCACTATAGCAATCAAAGTTATGTCGGACTGCATCAATTCGACAGTGAGTAGATGCACCCTTAGTTTAAAAAATAGGTTTCAAAGTGAAAACAAGAGGCAAGTAATATTGAACCATGTTGTGTTGGAGTGTTACTCCATCTGCAGGCCACAGAATAATTATTTTTGTAGGGATTTTAAAAAAGTAATTTTTGTGTCATAAGAGGACTTCACAGGATTGCACAAAGATCTTTAGTGGATGCAAACAGCACGTGAAACATACAATTCCCGCTCTTAATTTAAATGTTCATCCAAATTTGAATACAGTGAACTCCTTGGTTTGTCAACTTGGAGCCTTCGAAGATCCTTCGGTCCAACACAACTGCACCATAGCCATCCCATTCAGGATAAATCCTTCTTGCGAGAAAAATAAAAATCCACTCCTCTATTTTTGTGTTGCTTTGGCGTGTGCGAAGGGCCCTTTCTCCCCTTCGGACCAGGACCTTGGTTGCTCTGCCACAAATATAAAAAGGGAAAAAAGACAAGAGTAAACAATTATTTTGTGCAGAAGCAAAATAGACAGGGATTATTCAGAAGTTAAAGAAGATGTGCATCCTTCTGCTCCATCCCTACACTGGCATTTGGGAAGCTTTGCTTTCCCAGTGGTGGCACGTAATGGAAGGTGCATCTACACCAGTGGTTCTCACAGACATGTGCCTTTCATCTCAAGAACAGAGAAGCATCCCGAGCTCTGAAGATCACCTGGGAAGGAACCCCACTGGAGCATTGCAGCGCACACATATACCTGGGAGTCACTCTGGACCGTGCTCTGACCTACAAGAAGCACTGCCTGAACATCAAGCAAAAAGTGGGTGCTAGAAACAATATCATACGAAAGCTGACTGGCACAACCTGGGGATCACAACCAGATACAGTGAAGACATCTGCCCTTGCGCTGTGCTACTCTGCTACTGAGTATGCATGCCCAGTGTGGAACACATCTCACCATACTAAAACAGTGGATGTGGCTCTTAATGAGACATGCCGCATTATCACGGGGTGTCTGCGCCCTACACCACGGGAGAAATTACACTGCTTAGCCGGTATTGCACCACCTGACATCCGCCGGGAAGTAGCAGCCAATAGTGAAAGGACCAAGGCAGAGACATCCCCAGCTCATCCCCTGTTTGGGTATCAGCCAGCACGTCAATGACTTAAATCTAGAAATAGTTTTCTAAGATCTACAGAGACACTCGCTGGAACACCTCAGCAAGCGAGAGTCCAAAAGTGGCAGGCTCAAACCCAGAACCTCAACCAATGGCTGATACAAAATGAGACACTCCCCCTTGGGCACACAGAGGACTGGGCGACTTGGAAGGCACTGAACAGACTGCACTCTGGCACCACGAGGTGCAGAGCCAACCTTCAGAACTGGGGCCACAAAGTGGAATCCTCGACATGCGAGTGTGGGGAGGAGCAAACCACTGACCACCTGCTGCAATGCAACCTGAGCCCTGCCACATGCACAATGGAGGACCTTCTTGCAGCAACACCAGAAGCACTCCAAGTGGCCAGATACTGGTCAAAGGACATTTAATCAACTACCAAACTCACACATTTTGTATTTTGTCTGTTTGTTTGCTTTGTTCTGTTAGAAATGTAATATAATTGACTGGTTGTCCTGACACAACAAATAAATAGTGGTTCTCAACCTGGGGTCCCCAGATTTATTTGGCCTACAACTCCCAGAAATCCCAACCAGTTTACCAGCTGTTAGGATTTCTGGGAGTTGAAGACCAAAAACATCTGGGGACCCCAGGTTGAGAACCACTGATCTACACCGTACTAGGACTCAAGGCTATGGATTCATGCAAGTTGTCATTTTACAAGGTCTTTAGCCTTCTCTACCCAAGAGTGCTGGTGCCTCACTACACTATACATCCCAGAAATCCATAGCAGTTAAAGTTGGGTCAAACTCTACAATGTAGATCAGACCTGGGGAAACTTTATTTATATATTTATTTACAGTATTTATATTCCGCTCTTCTCACCCCGCAGGGGACTCAGGGCAGATTACAATGTGCATATACATGGCAAACATTCAATGCCATAGACACGCAACATATATAGACAGACACACAGAGGCTATTTAACATTCCAGCTTTTTCTTGGGGGTATTCTGGCCACTAGGGGAGCTGTTGCTTCACCATCCATTTCTGACACTGATGGAAATACTTCCTCATTCTTTGCATGATTGCTGGCGATTTTTATGGCATCGTAAATTAGACATGCAACATATATAGACAGACACACAGAGGCTATTTAACATGAGGGTATTCTGGCCACTAGGGGAGCTGTTGCTTCACCGTCCATTTCTGACAGTGATGGAAATACTTCCTCATTCTTTGCATGCTTGCTGGAGATTTTTATGGCATCGTAAATTAGACACGCAACATATATAGACAGACACACAGAGGGTATTTAACATGAGGGTATTCTGGCCACTAGGGGAGCTGTCGCTTCACCGTCCATTTCTGACACTGATGGAAATACTTCCTCATTCTTTGCATGCTTGCTGGAGATTTTTATGGCATCGTAAATTAGCCTCCCTGTGTAGGCGGTACCTAAATTTTTTTACTTGACAGATGCAACTGTCTTTCAGGCTGCAAAGGTCAACAACAAACTACACAAATTGATCGAAAGCTCACTCCGCCCCGGGCTGGCTTGAAATTCATGACCTTTTGGCCAGTAGTGATCTTAATGCAGCTGACTCCCAGCCAGTTGCACCACAGTACCGGTGGCCCTCCGGGTGTTTTGGACTTCAACTTTTGCACCATACTTACCGGCTTCCGGTTGATGTGCCTTCCCCATTCTGGAGCCATGATGATGGGCACAGGGTAGCTGCTGGCAAGACTGACGCCAGCCTGTGAAAGAGCCGCGTTGCTCAAGGCCCACGGAGTGTGTACATCTCCTCCTTTGATGCACTGTAGTTCCGGAACCCAGAGCCTGACATAGTCTCCCTGAAATAGCAAAAGAATACCAGCAACCTATCATTCCAAATAGCACATACAGTATGACCATATTACCCAAAGGGCATGTGCTCCTGAGCTTGCCATAAAAATGGAAAAACTTGGATAACACTATGTAACAAAATTTGAAAACTTTTCTGTTTTCCAGAAACTTTCCAGAAACTTTGTTTTTGTGCCTGCCACAAACTATGTTGAATTGGTTTAGATTCTAGGAGATAGGAGCTGCAGTGGCGTAATGGGTTAAACTGCTGAGCTGCTGAACTTGCTGACCTGAAGGTTGGCGGTCCGAATGCATGGGACGGGATGAGCTCCCATTCTTAGCCCCAGCTCCTGCCAACCTAACAGTTCGAAAACATGCACATGTGAATAGATCAATAGGTACCGCCTCGGCAGGAAAGTAAAGGACGCTCCATGCAGTCACATGATCTAGGAGGTGTCTATGGACAAAGCAGAAATGGAGATGAGCATCAACCCCCAGAGTCGGACTTAACGTCAAGGGAAAATCTTTACCTTTACTATGCTGGAATCCACCCTGAGTACCCTTGACGAGATAGGGCGGAATACAAATAAAGTGTTGTTGTTGTGGTGTTGTTATATTCATTGAAAAACTATAGCAAAATGTGCTGCAAGATGTCCCGCAGAAACAAACTTTTTACAGTTTAATAAACCTTTTCCATGTTTTAATGATTGAACCAATTAGGAAATGGCATTTATAACCCAGGAACATTCAATAAACGAAATCACAACAAATTTGGCAACAAAATGTCTCCCTACACAAGGAGTGACCATCACTCAAAAAATTATGATTTTGTCCTTTGGGAGTTGTAGTTACTGGGATTTATAGTTCACCTATAATCAAAGAGCATTCTGAACTCCACCAACGATGGAATTGACCAAACTTGGCACACAGAACTCCCATGACCAACAGAAAATACTGGAAGCGTTTGGTGGGCATTGACCTTGAGTTTGGGAGTTGTAGTTCACCTACATCCAGAAAGCACTGTGGACTCAAACAATGATGGATCTGGACCAAACTTGGCACGAATACTCCATATGCCCAAATATAAACACAGATGGAGTTTGGGGAATAGACCTTGACATTTGGGAGTTGTAGTTACTGGGATTTATAGTTCACCTACAATCAAGGAGCATTCCGAACCCCACCAACGACAGAAGTGGGGCAAACTTCCCATACAGAACCCTCATGACCAACAGAAAACACTGTGTTTTCTAGTGGTCTTTGGTGACCCTTCTGACACCCCCTCACAACACCTCCCTCAGGGGTCCCAAACCCCAGGTTGAGAAATGCTGCCTTAAGGCCACCCAGTCCAACCCCCTTCACCAGGGCAAGAAAACATAAAGCCCTCCTGACAAAGAGCCATCCAGCCATAGATATAGATAAATATATATGATTCACACACACACACACACACACACACACCCATGTTTATGACAGATATAGTACCAACTCCCTGGTGACCCTCCGCCCGGGGGTCTTGACTTCCCAGATTGAGAAATGCTGCCTTAAGGCCATCCAGTCCAACTCCTTTCACCAGGGCAAGTAAACATAATCAAAGCCCTCCTGACAAAGGGCCATCCAGCCATCCACACACACACACATATGTATATGACAGATGCAGTATCAAAGATTTGAAAGAGACCCCCTAAAGAAGGACAATGATATGTTGCATGTTCCAGAGTAGGCAAATCAGACAATCTCCACATCAACACTGACAAAGAAACAGCAAGAAATACTGTTTATGCACAAGCATAAAGACATTACATATATTAGAAACCAACACTTTCTCAATACTTAATTTTCCAGATCACCAGACTGGGCCACAGCAACGCATGGCAGGGGACCGCTTGTGTGTGTGTGTGTGTGTGTGTGTGTGTACACACACACACATATACGTATACATATATATACACACACACACACACACACACAATCAGAGAGATGGAAAACATGAAATTCATTTATGTTTTGTAAACACCTTATATACATAGCCTGAAGGTCATTTTATGCAATATTCTAAATAATTTTCTGAATGAAAGAACTTGTGTATATCGAACTATCAAAAATTAAGTGTCACTTTCATATTCAAGGCTTTTGAATTTTGGAATTTCAGACCAGAGGGGCCCAATCCGTGTAAGCAAACTTTGAGAGACTTCACTACTGTAGACATAAATAAATCAGGGCTGAGACTGTACCAATATAACCAAAGAAGCAGGACAAAGCTCAACACGTTGCTTTTGGTGTTAATATTGACTAGTGAGAACCTACATTGCCGTCGTAATCCAAGGCTTGCTTAATCATGTTAAATTTCCTGTTTTCTCTGGGGTCATTGCCAATGCCAGCGCTATAAAGCCAGTTGCCATAGTTGCTGCATACATCGTAATCCACCTTGGAGGAAAGAAACACGGATACACAATGATTAAAAAATGCTAACTCAGATATTTAGGACAATTTGCTTCCCATTCTCCTGATTCTTTTGTCGTCTTTTCCAATGAGTCCAATTGTCTCATGAGATATCCTTGGTTTAAACATTTGGGTTCTAGTAAGCTGCGTTAAATAAGCCCTCTGGTTGCGCAGCGGGTTAAATCGTGGAGCTGCTGAACTTGCTGACCGAAAGGTCGGCGGTTCAAATCTGGGAAGTGGGTTGAGCTCCTGCTGTTAGCCCAGCTTCTGGCAACCTAGCAGTTTGATAACATGCAAATGTGAGTAGATAAATAGGTATCACTTCGGCTGGAAAGTAGCGGTGCTCCATACAGTCATGCTGGCCACATGACCTAGGAGGTGTCTACGGATAAAGCCGGCTCTTTGGCTTCAAAATGGAGATTAGCACCAGCCCCCCAGAGTCTGACACGACTAGGCTTCATGTCAAGGGAAACCTTTACCTTAAGCTGCATGAATAATATATCATCAAACAAGCACTGACAAAGAATACGAAACCAATTAATAGCTACCCAGTTCCCAAAACAGAAAGGGAAAGTGACATAAAGTGAGATTCGTTTTGGTGAAATGCATCTTTTAGACCAAGTATGGATAACTTTACTTTATCTACACTGAAGTATTAATGCAGTTTGGTATCACTTTAACTGCCATAGCTCTGTGAAATCCTGGGAATTATAGTTTTACAAGATCTTTAGCCTTCTCTGCCAAAGAGTGCTAGAGACTCACCTAATGACAACCCCCAAGTCATATTCTATGGTTTCAGCTCTGGGATCTTCTGAGGGCCACTTGACCACAAAAACTCAAAGTGGCCAAAGCTCCATTTTTGGCGCTAAACATTTACGTGTAAACAATGCAAGGAATGGCTGTAAGCTGTTAAAAAGGTGAACTGTTAAGAAACAATTCATGCACTTCTCTGCACCCAAGAAATAGGTATCCTAGCAAATCTAGTGCAACAAAAACACTATTTGTAGGTTGTTGTAGGTTTTTCGGGCTGTATGGCCATGTTCTAGAAGCATTCTCTCCTGACATTTCACCTGCATCTATGGCAGGCATCCTCAGAGATTGTGAGACCTCACAACCACAGATATATAAACCCTTTTTCCTAGTTCCAACAGACCTCACTACCTCTGAGGATGCTTGCCATAGATGCAGGCGAAACGTCAGGAGAGAATGATTCTAGAACATGGCCAAACAACCTGAAAAACCTACAAGAAGCCAGTGATTCCAGCCATGAAAGCCTTCGACAATACTATTTGTAGGGTTCATACAAGGTCCTCCGATTGTGATATGCATACCCCCCACCTTAAAGATTTGACTTTAAAGGACCAGAACATAAAGGCACCCTGAAGAGAGCAATCAAGCCCCTCAATTAGTACCAATAAGGATTCAAACCACTCGGCTCCCATCCTCCAGTCCAGCCCCAAATCCTTGGTCAAGAAGCTGGCCACATTCTGGCGCCCTCGGTTTGACATGAAGCCCGTCATGGCCAGTTCACGCATGTTGGCATCGACAAAGGGGACACCAGTTTTTCCTTCTGTGAAAGGAAGAAGTCATTCAAAAATGAGCTATTTATCCACTCGTTCTTAAGATCCCTGCCTACAACCCCCATCGCCCCCATGGTTGGGGTGACAGAGTTTGTAGCCCAACTCATTCTCATGGTTGGGATGGCTGTTTTCAGACACCTGTGAGTGATGGCCAATGAAGATATAGGAGAGATGCTTTTCCATTCCCACCAGGCAGGTCACAACCTACATTTACTGACCTTTCCAAGCATCAAAGAGTTTGGGGTCTTTCTTCCAGGAAATGTCTTTATCTTGAAGTCCTGTGGGAAGGAGTGGGGTGAGAGAAGAGGAGTTGGGACGACAAGGAATGGAGTGTTAATATGAAGCATCAGATGGTGGAGACTGAGGGTATTACTAGGTCTAATGGTTTGAAGTTGCAGGAGGGTAGGTTTCGATTGAGCTTTAGAAGGAACTTCTTGATGGCAAGAGCTGTTCAGTAATGGGATCATTTGCCCATAGAATTGTTGGGGTCTCCTTTTTCAGACATTGGGATTCTTTAGGTCAGTGGTTCTCAACCTGTGGGTCCTCAGAGGTTTTGGTCTTCAACTCTCAGAAATCCTAATAGCTAATAAACTGTCTAGGATTTCTGGGTTGGCATCATTATGTAGGCAGAAAGCCTTGATTTGGAGTCATTGTTAAGCTAAGTTAGAGGGAAGGCAGTATGCCCACAAGTAAAAAAAGATCAACCATAGGTTCTTGTGGGTTTTTTCGGGCTATAGGGTCATGTTCTAGAGGCATTTCTCCTGACGTTTCGCCTGCATCTATGGCAAGCATCCTCAGAGGTAGTGAATCATGTCTGCAGCTCCTAAAGTCACCCCATAAATGGCCAAATTTGGTTAGTGCTGTGTGGTGGCTCACCTCTGGGAAAGAAAATCTTTCTGCCATATTTCAGGGCCACAAATCGGAAGTAATCCCTCCATGCCAGTTCAAACAGCACCCTGGAGGAGACGGAGAAAGACACACAATTTCTGTTGTAAAAAGAAAAAAAACCCACTCTCCAAGCACATCAGATCCCTCAGAGATCTAGGAACGGACATGACCTATTTTGCAAAACTCGTAAGATAAAAATATCTTGATGGAAATAAATAACTGCTATGAACCTTGCAAAGGCTCAAGGGAGTGGCTCTAGCAAAAAGGCAGCAGCTCAATTTAAGAAAGGATGGGTAACATTTGGCTTTTGGGATATGTTTGGATTGCATCTCTCATCAGCCCTAGTCAACAGTGAAAGTGAATGGGAACTGCAACCACAGTGCCTGCTGGTGTTATGCAAAGAGAGAAGCCTGTGATGAAATGAAAATAATGCGTGGTTCACATTTGACCAGTCCACACACTGCCTTGCCAGAGAAAGAAAATACGCCACACAGATGAACAGTGAAGAACTAGTAGTTTACTCTTTGTAGTTCAGAACAACATATGTACAATCATGTGATCAGTCACATTAATTCACATAATGTTATTTTATGAGAGATTTAAAATTATCTTTCTTTGTCCATGAAGATAATCTCCTTCAGCAGCTCATGAAACAAGAGCACACTCCAAACTGTCTCTGTTTGCTTCTCTCAAACACCTGCATAGCTCAAGCCTAAAAATGTAACAGTATACAAAAGTCCCAGGCTCAGCCATCTCTCCAGGCATTGCTCAGCCAATCAGCTTCATGCATCTTATATACCAGTTCACACACACACACACACACACACACACTGATTTCTTGTATGCTCTGACAAAGCCAACTGTGAGACTAAACACAATCTAAATCAGGCATGGGCAAACTTCGGCCCACCAAGTGTTTTGGACTCCCAACTACCAGCTGTTAGGAATTGTGGGAGTTGAAGTCCAAAACACCTGGAGGGCCAAAGTTTGCCCATGCCTGATCTAAATGCTTTGTCCTAAATTGCTACGCAATAGCAGCTCCATGTTAGCAGAGTGAGAAATCCGTTCTGGGTGCAAGTTCAAAATTTAAAGGAATCATCCAAGTTGCTAAACCAGGCATGGACAAACTTTGGCTCTCCAGGTGTTTTGGACTCCAACTCCTACAATTCCTAACAGCCTCAGGCCTCTTCCTTTTCCCCCTCAGCCGCTTAAAGTTCAGACTGAAAACTACAATACATTCAACACTCCACTGATAAATAAGCCACCAGTTGATCAAATCCACTTATCTATATAGTAAAACAATGCTCGTTGTATAAAATGATGCTCGTTGTATAAAACGGCAAGATCAAGGTTTGCTTTTAGTAACGGATAGAGAGAGAGATTCAAACTGTGGATGGTCGAATTCATGGATGCAGAATCAATGGTTGCAGGGCCAACAAGTAATGGTTGGAAACATAAATATGTTGTGGATAGGGATTCCTGAATTTCAGCTCTTCTACAGACTCTGCAATGGTCAGTTTTCTCTTGTCCACAGATCCTCCTTCACTCTCACCAATCATAATTTTAGTAATTCCATGATAACAGAGAAAGTCAGCCAAGAGAATTCTGCAACAAAACCTTTGCAATCTGAGTAAGCATTGCAATGTCACAGCAATGGCAAAGGGAATGTCTTTGGCAATGCAAGCAAATAGGAATGAGTAATCCCTTTGCACCATTCTCCACCCAGCAGGTTTTTATTTCCAGGGTTATCCCTGCAGAGCAGATCCTACCAGTAGGTACTCTGGTTTGCTGTCCTCTCTTTTTCATATTTCTGGATCTGCTCATAAATATACCGTGGTGAGATGCAGCCCAGAGCCAACCTAGAAAAGAAAACAAAACGTCATCAAGATGTGTTTGTGTCAAATATGAAAAACCTGCTTCACCCAAGGACCAAACCCAAACCAATTTCAAAGAAGTTTTCCAAAGCCAGGGTGGAAGGACAGAAGTGTGAGACCAATTTGAACCTATCTGAGCTTAAATCCCTTTCTGCCCATAATTAGAAGAGGTGTTTTTAAGCTTTTAAAATAGGAGGAAAATATACAAAATGGGAAACCACCAAAGCTGTGATAGGACCATGCCACCTGGGCTGGCTTTGGCCCCAGGACTTTAAATGCTGAACCCAAACTTTGGAACATCCACTGTATATTTACTTAACTTGATATATGGCCTATCTTACCTTAAAGCAGTGGTTCTTAACCTTCCTAATGCCGCGACTCCTTAATACAGTTCCCCATGCTGTGGTGACCCCCCAACCATCAAATTATTTTTTTGCTACTTGAGATCTGGAATTTTGCTACTGTTATGAATTTTAATGTAAATATCGATATGCAGGATGTATTTTCATTCACTGGACCAAATTTGGCACAAATATCCAATACGCCCAAATTTGAATACTGATGTTGATTTTGTCATTTGGGAATTGTAGTTGCTAGGATTTATAGTTCACCTGCAATCAAAGAGCATTCTGAACTCCACCAATGATGGAATTGAACCAATAATAATAATAATAATAATAATAATAATAATAATAATACTTTATTTATACCCTGCCACCATCTCCCCAAGGGACTCAGAGCAGCTTACATGAGGCCAAGCCCAACAACACATCACAACAGAAAAGCAATAACAACAATACAAAGCAATACAAAATAATACAAATCACATATAACAATAACACACAGGATTTAAAAGCTTATGAACCAATCTTGGCACAAAGAACTCCCATGATTAACAGAAAATACCGGAAGGGCTTGGTGGGCATTGACCTTGAGTTTGGGAGTTCTAGTTCATCTACATCCAGAGAGGACTCAAACAATGATGGATCTGGACCAAACTTGGCACGAATACTCAATAGGTCAAAATGTGAACACTGGTGGAGTTTGGAGAAAATAGATCTTGACATTTGGGAGTTGTAGTGAGTGCAAGATATTTACCATGGTGCAAACTTGGTTGAATAATCCAGTCCTATTAATCCATTCCGTGTCTCCTTGTAAGACGCAACTAGATTCTGTACAAATATAAAAAAGAGCACATTTGTGTGTTTTAAGGGAAACAACACCAGCAGTCTTAAAAAAAGAAAATAATACAAAAAGAGTCTCCCTTGTCCAAAATGTTTTGGACCAAAACTATTTCAGACTTTGGAAATCTGTATTTCCATATATCTACCTACCTACCTATACTATGTATGTGTGTATGTGACTGGGGTGTCCGCTTACCCAGACAAGCTCCTACCTAAACAAACAGCTATAACTCCCACCACTCAGGAGGCACTAATGGCCCTCCCTCCACTGACATTGCAGGCCATAGTGAGCATCATGAACATGTCCAAGAGCCCTGCCAATGTCCTCCAAAAACACCATACTGGCCACTACTCAAGTGAAGGCTTTCATATGGAGACAATTTCATCCTATATTTTTTTTCCTCCACCATGGACATCCCAGTGTTTCTCACTCCCTCAATCGGTGTGGAATTTGCATGACCCCACCTGCTCCCTCTCCCATAACCCTTTCCTACTCTTTTCTATGGCACACAGTAAACAGAGGAAAAGATCAGCAACTGAACATACTGGAGGTGTTTCGGAGACTGACTCAACATGATGGGAGTTGTAGTTCACCCTGCATCAAGACACTCTGACCCCCACTGACAATGGACCTGGACCAAATTTAGCACACAGAACCCCCATGACCAGGTTTGGGGGGAACTGCCCTTTATTTATAGAAGTTGTAGTTCACCTGCATCCAGAGATCACTGTGAACCCAAACATCAATGTATCTGGACCAAACTTGGCACGCATACCTGATACGCCCAAATCTGAATACTGGAGGGGTTTGGGGGAAATTGATCTTGACAATTGGGAGTTGTAGTTCACCTACATCCAGAGACACTGTGACCCCCACTGATAATAAACCAGGACCAAACTTGGCACACGGAACCCCATGACCAAGTGAACGTACCACAGAGGTTTGAGAGGACTAACTCACCATGGTGGGAGTTGTACTTTAGCCTGCAGCCAGAGAGCACACTGAACCCCACCGATGATGCATCTACAGCAAACTTACCCAACATGACAAACTAAGTACTGATGGAGTTTCAGGGGGTTAACCTGGTGTGATGTGAGTTTTGTGCATTTTGTAAAATAAAAATATTGACTTTTTCAATACTTTTCCCTCAAGCTAGTACATGGACAGCGAGAAGACCCAACCAGTCCATATTTCAAGAAATAAAGCCTGACTGCTCATTGCAGGGAAGAACAGTAGAGGCCTAGATGAGGTACTTTGGCCACATCATGAGAAGAAAGACAAGCTTAGAGAAGACAATTATGCTAGGGAAATGGAAGGAGAAATGAAGAGGGGCCAACCAAGGGCAAGATGGATGGATGTTATCCTTGAAGTGACTGGATTGACCTTGAAGGAGCTGGGGGTGGTGACGACTGACAGGGAGCTCTGGCGTGGGCTGGTCCATGAAATCACAAAGAGTCGGAAACAACTGAATGAATGAACAACAACAACAGTACATCATAAATGAGGGATGAGCTCCTTGAAGAAAATCTTAGTGGATACCATATATATGGCTAGACCCCTTTCCCCAGAGAAAGAAGTCTGGCAGCAAACATTCTCAGTTTTTGGAGCATTTCAAATTTCCCAATAAGGGTGACTCAACCTGTATTAAAGATTTGGCAAACTGAATGTTATAAAAACTGTAACAAAGAATAGAGAGCCACCTATTGACCACCAATGGGAATTATGGATTCCACAACCATAATAGTAGCCGATCCCAGATGCTACAAGGAAAGATTTTGCTTTGCATTTCATAATTTGTATATTGTAGCCAGGCCAGTGTATACAGTGTTTAAATCAGCAAACAACAATGTTTTCATTCGGTCAACAAATACTCTGCTAATGTTTACTTTTGTGGTTGTGCAAATCTTTAGACGTGTTTACATCTTTATATTGAAAGTAATACAAGTAATATTTACATATTTATATTGAATGTTAATACATTTATTTAAACAGACACAGAGAGATTTATGTCAGCGATTAGAAGATGCTCGCTTGAGTAAACAAATAGACTGAATTGATTCACCGCTGCAGCCTGTGTGGCATTTGCTGAGGCAAAGTTTCCAGTCTCAATCCACTAGGGATTGAATGCAAGAGGATGGAGACAGCATTGCCCAGCGGTTAGATCACTAGACTTTAGGGACCTGGGTTCAACTCCCTTTTCAGCCATGGAAACTCACATTGGGCAAGGGACACTCTTTAATGAACCCTGCTAAGAAAACCCCAACTTCAAGTGGGCATAAGATAAAGTTGAGTTCCAGACCCTTAACAACCACAACAACACCTCCTAAGATCAAAGCAAGAGCTCCGTTGTGTTCCCTCTCCCCAAACAAAAAGGTTGCATGCTTCCTTACCGTTTCCCAGAAATAGTGCTGCAATCTCATTAAGGCCTGTGTCTCCCCTCCGCTGCAAAGAAAGGCAGAACGTGGATCACGGACTGGTTCTGCCAAGGAAAACATGTAGGATTCAGCCAAATTTGGATACACAGTTTAGTAATGCAAAGAAAAGAGGCAGGCACCACAACTAAGGGAATGCACACACAGCAAACAGAATGGTTTCAGGTCTGATTGATTATGAAAAGAGAAATTTATTGGGAGAGCAAAATTATTCTTTGGAGAGGCTACCTCTATGCAGATACCCTTGCTGATTGACTTTGCAAACTTCATGGCTATTCAAATGTGAATTCAAGCTTGCTAAATGCAACATTCACATTTGCTTCAAACAGACAAGGGTTCTTTCTCCCACCCTGGACATTCCACAGGTATATTATACACTCCACTTGCCTCACTGCTAACAGAACCTCTGAAGATGCCATTAGCCACAGATGCAGGTGAAACGGCAGGAGAGAATGCTGCTGGAACATGGCCATACAGTTCAAAAACACACACAGCAACCCAACTTTGTAACATGGTTTTTCTTCCTAAGTTATAAATGTTATTTCCTAATTGGTTCTATCCTAAAAACATGGAAAAAGTTTATTAAACTGCACAAACTTGGTTTGTACAGGACGGACATCTTGCAGCACATTTTCTTATAGTTTTTCTATTTTTTCCTGTCAGGAGAGACTCGAGAAACTGCAAGTCACTTCTGGTGTGAGAGAATTGGCCATTTGCAAGGACGCTGCCCAGGGGATGCCCAGATGTTTTGATGTTTTACCATCCTTGTGGGAGGCTTCTCTCATGACTCTGCATGGGGAGCTGGAGCTGACAGAGGGAGCTCATCTGCACTCTCCCCAGATTCAAACCTATGGCCTGTTGGTCTTCAGTCCTGTCGGCACAAGGGTTTAACTCATTGCACAACGGGGGGCTCCAGGTAGTTTTTCAATGAATATCTCATAGTCTCCCATACAATTCAATATAGTTTGTGGCAGCCACAAGAACTAAGTTTTTGGGATATAACAACTACTTTCAAAGTTTTTTTTTTGTCGTGTCAGCAGCGACTTGAGAAACTGCAAGTCACTTCCGGTGTGAGAGAATTGGCTGTCTGCAAGGACGTTTTCCAGGGGATGCCCAGATGTTTTGATGTTTTACCATCCTTGTGGGAGGCTTCTCTCGTGTCCCCGCATGGAGAGCTGGAGCTGACAGAGGGAGCTCATCCATACTCTCCCCAGATTTGAACCTATGGCCTGTTGGTCTTCAGTCCTGTCGGCACAAGGGTTTAACACACTGTGTCACTGGGGGCTCCTGGTAGTTTTTCAATGAGTATCTCATAGTCTCCCAAACAATTCAACACAGTTTGTGGCAGCCACAAGAACTAAGTTTCTGGAGTATAACAACTACTTTCAAAGTGAGTATAGCACAATTAGACAGGAAATAATACTTTCAAACCTGGAACAGAACATTTCTTCACATTTTGTTACATAGTGAGATAGGGAATCCATCAATTCCAACCTGTCATTCCAAAATCTTCCAGGGAAGGGATGTTGCCTTCTTCGATCTCCGAAGGCAATGGCTTCATCTGAGCCTCCATCTTCAAAACAGGCCGGACTCTCGCCTGCGACTCCACAGCCCTGCGGAACTGTGTATAGACATCCGGCAACCTGTGGGGATGATGGGGAGGTTAAGAAGGAAATGGGGCATTCCTCTATGAACTAGCCTGGGTATCCCAAACTGATAGAGTGAAGAACTTCTTATTATGTGCTTTCAGATCAGGAATCCAAACTTTTGCCTCCTTGAATCCTAGGATGCATCTACAACAGGCATAGTGTTGGGAATCAGCCTGTGTTTCTGTTCCCGAATGATCATGGTGCTTCTGATGTGGGCGATGGTGTGGGCAATGCTCTGAGAAATGACAGAGAGGCCCCAGTGCAAAGGGCAGTTTCTCATGAGAATATTCCTGCTGGGCATAGGGATGATGGTTTACTCCCTCTCTCTGTGAGCTCTCAAGATTTGGGTTTGGAAAACAATCTGACACCTGGAAATTTTAATGAGCAGCCAGATAGGGAGCTGAAAAACAGGCGGCTGGAGTTCAGCCAGGACCGACAACAAACTCAAGGTTTACATCGCTCCAAAAGGCTTCGTCAAATAAGAGTCAAGGGTGGGGGGAAACGAAACCAGTTTCTGGGTTTTGGGATATAAGGTTTGCTTCAAGGGAAAACCTGTTAGATCAGGCATTATTTGGAAATCAAGTTTATGTGCCACAGAAATCCTGTTTAAAGGGTCTTGTTCTTGTGGATACTTCTAGCCTTTTGGTGTTGATTAACAGCGTTTGGATTGTCTTTGCATCCTGTTGATTTCCATCTGGAGAAATATTGCCTTGGATTGCCTTTATATCTTTGGTGGACATTGCTTTGAGTCACTGCATTTTACTGATCTTTTACTTTTTGGAACTTTCCTATTTTCTTACAAGCATTTCTTTCTACTGGGTATTTTACTAAGCTTCAATAAAAAGGATTTGTTTCTTCACTCAATATGTGTTGTGTTTTAAAATCAGAGGGCTTCTTTCTGTCCTGGAGTGCAACACATAGGTAAACCTCAGCCCTCCAGATGTTTTGGACTTCAACTCCCACAATTCCTAACAGCCTACTGGCTGTTAGGAATTGTGGGAGTTGAAGTTCAAAACACCTGGAGGGCCAAAATCTACATGAAATAATAAATGAAGTTTGACACCACTTAACTGCCATAACTGCCAAATCATGTATTACATTATAATATTATTATCAATATTATATGTATATATAATATATTATCAGCATAGCACAATGTTAGTATTAGTATCATAGCGCTGTAGTTGTGTATATGAATGATTTGTGATATCCTTTTCCATGCTTTTCCAGAAGAGTCCACAAAAGATCTCCAAAGCCTGCCCTTTGAATTATATCCTCCAATTGGGACACTCCAGATATAATGGGACTATCGTTCCTATCATTCTGGCTAATGTTTATATTTCTCTTCACAATCCATCCACGACAGCCGAAGCAAGAACTGGGTGAATTCTTCTCCTATGTATTTGATGTAGGGGACTCACTGGGAAATGTGCTTGAAAGGGAGGTCTTGCTGGTGATAAAGAGTCGATCCCCAGAAGGTCTGGACCTTTACTCCATGCTCAGTGCAAACCTGGATCAGTGCCTTCTCCACATCAAGCTCTTCTTTTGTAGCCTACACAAGATAGAAAGCAGGAGACAGAATGAATTAATCCTACCTAGCAATGGTCGCTGTGTATGTAATAAACTGAAAGGGACCCCAAGACAACGCTGAATGGGAAGATACTGAACTCATGTTCTAGATCCAGTATGGAGAGCATGCCAACCCAATGGCAGATCCTAATAGTGTAGCAGCCATTGGAGAAGTGCTTTTATACCAGCAAGAGTGGAGAAAGCAAAGACACATAGTAAATGCCACTACATTTTAGATGAAGGAGGACTATCCTTTATCCAAATTGATTGCGAACAAAATTTTGGAAAACCTGTACAGTGTTCCCTCACTTATCGCAGGTGTTTCATTCCAGGACCACTCGCGATAAGTGAAAATCCACAAAGTAGGGACGCTATATTAATTGCAATATTTTTTTATTACTAGCTGCCCCCTGCCACGCGTTGCTGTGGCCCAGTCTGTTGATCTGGAAAATAAAGTAATGAGAAAGTGTTGGTTTCTAATATATGTAATTTATTTATGCTCGTGGGGAAACAGTATTTCTTGCTGTTTCTTTGTCAGTGTTGATGTGGAGAGTGTCTGGTTTGCCCAGCCTGGAACATGCAAGATATCATTGTCCCTTCTTTAAGGGTCCCTTTCAAATCTATGATACTATATCTCTCTGTGTGTGAATCATATCTATCTATCTATCTATCTATCTATCTATCTATCTATCTATCTATCTATCTATCATCTATCTATCTATCTCTATGGCTGGATGGCTCTTTGTCAGGAGGACTTTGATTACATTTTCTTGCCCTGATGAAGGGAGTTGGGTTGGATGGCCTTAAGTATTTTCTGTTGGTCGTGGGTGTTCTGTGTGGGAAGTTTGCCCCGATTCTGTCATTCATGGGGTTCAGAATTTATTTATTTATTTATTTATAATTCAAACTTATATGCCGCCACTCCCCTGGGGCTCGGAGCGGCTTACAAGAACAGGCTAAAATCTAACACAATTTAAAAACAATTCAAAACAATTTAAAAACAATTTAAAAACAACAATATCAGAGATCAAAGGCCTGTCAAAACAGGTAAGCCTTACATGCCCTGCGGAAAGCTGATAGGTCCCGCAAGGCATGGACTTCAGGTGGCAGAGTATTCCAGAGTGATGGTGCCACTGCTGTAAAGGCTCTGCGTCTGGTTGCTGTTAGACGCAAGGTCTTGACATTGGGAATTTCCAACAAATCTTGGTCCTCAGAAGGGAGGGATCTCTGGGGTTGGTAGGGGGTGAGGCGGTCCCTCAGGTACATCGGCCCCAGACCATGCAAGGCCTTAAAGGTGAGTACCATCACTTTGAAAGTGATCCGGTGCTCAATTGGTAACCAATGCAGCTGTAGTAAGATTGGTGTTATGTGGCATCTCATCGGAATTCCCGCAAGAAGCCGAGCAGCTGCATTTTGTACCAACTTGAGCTTCCGGATCACTGACAGAGGAAGGCCAATGTAGAGGGCGTTACAGTAGTCCAGTCTTGAGATGACCGTAGCCTGGATCACCGTAGCTAGGTCGTCCCTGGACAGGTAGGGGGCCAGCCGTCTAGCCTGCCGCAGATGAAAAAAGGCAGTTCTGCTAACGGCGGAGACCTGGGCCTCCATCGTCAGCAGAGGGTCCAAAAGGACTCCCAGACTCTTTACCAATGATGACGGGCGTAGCGCCTCGCCATCCAGGGTAGGCAGCTGGATATCCCCACTGCCCGGTTGACCCAGCCATAGGATCTCCGTCTTTGCTGGATTCACCCTCAACCTGCTGGCACGCAGCCATCCAGTAACGGCCTCGAGGCACTGATGGAAAAAATCGGGTACAGAGTATGGTCTGCTCTCCATCCTCAGCACCAGCTGAGTGTCATCAGCGTACTGGTAACACTCCAGCCCAAACCTCGAACCAGCTGAGCAAGTGGTCGCATATAGATGTTAAACAACAGAATGCTCTTTGATTGTAGGTGAACTGTGAATCCCAGTGACTACAACTCCCAAATGTCAAGGTCTATTTCCCCCAAACTCCATCTGTGTTCATATTAGGGGCAAATTGAGTGCTTGTGCCAAGTTTGGTCCAGATCCATCATTGTTTGAGTCCACAGTGCTCTCTGGATGTAGGTGAATTAGAACTCCTAAACTCTAGGTCAATGCCCACCAAACCTTCCAGTATTTTCTGTTGGTCATGGAAGTTCTGTGTGCCAAGTTTGGTTCAATTCCATTGTTGATCGAGTTCAGAGTGCTCTTTGATTGTAGGTGAACTATAAATCTCAGCAACTAAAACTCCCAAATGACAAAATCATAATTGCGATGGCACGGTGCAATAGCATTCCAGAAGGTCTTTAGCCTTCTGCAACAAACTACAACTTCCACAACAGTTCAAGTGGTGTCAAACTGCATCTGATTTACATTATAGACACACTTGTCAAGGACTCTGCAAGTAATAGGACTATTCTCTTGACCATTTTCTAAAGCCTTACCTCTTCATGAAAAGAGACGGAAGCCACAGAGCCCAGCTGGACGATCAAATCACGCACCACATCTTCCGGTTTGCCTTTTCGCACCACTAAATTACTGAAAACGAGGAAACGAGGGGCAAAAATTACCAACAACTTTGAGGAAGTGATGAGACTGTTCGATGGGAGATTGTAAGGTCTAGGTTCTAGGTTGTTGTAGGTTTTTCGGGCTATATGGCCATGTTCTAGAAGCATTCTCTCCTGACGTTTTGCCTTCATCTATGGCAGACATCCTCAGAGAGACCTCACTACCTCTGAGGATGCCTGCCATAGATGCAGGTGAAACATCAGGAGAGAATGCTTCTAGAGCATGGCCATATAGCCCAGAAAACCTTCAACAACCCAGTGATTCTAGCTATGGAAGACTTGGACAATACATTGTTTAGATTCTAGTTTCTCCTAAGCTAAGAAGAATGGTTGACTTTCGCCAAATAGTGCCCTGGCTCGATGCAAATGAATCCTGGAAGTTGTAGTTTTACAAGGTCTTTAGCCTTCTTTTCCAAAGAGAGATGTTGCTTCACCAAACTAGAATTACAAAATATTGAGCTATTGAAGTAGAGGGAAACTGTATTCATTCTACAGTGTAGACTACGCTTGGGCAAACTTTGGCCCCTCCAGGTGTTTTGGACTTCAACTCCCACAATTCCTAACAGCCTGCCGGCTGTTAGGAATTGTGGGAGTTGGAGTCCAAAACACCTGGAGGGGCCAAAGTTTGCCCATGCCTGGTGTAAACATGCACATAGTTGTTTAAGCAGAGCTGATTCCAGACAGATGTGGACATTTGCATCCAAAAGGCCTTACGGAAGATGGATTTGCACGTACCTGCCCTTCTTCTTCAACGTCTCCCGGAGGTCCTTCACACTTTCCAGCAGAAATCGGAGCCGAAAGGGCCCTGTTTTTGAGAAATTGTAGTGATGCGTTTGTGCATAATTCCGGGGGTCGAAGCAGTAGAGGGGAACAATGCGGTCTGCATTACTTTGAGCCCAATGAAGGACCTGCAAGGACACAAAAGAGCAGAAATCAATGATAAGGAGCTGTGACTGTTCCTTGAAAGTTCAGACTAAAACCCAGAGCAGACCCAACATGGACCCTGTTCTAGACAGCTGTTGGCTTATGACATCCCATAAATTTCAGAGAACTTTCTTAGGCAAAAGGGGGTTCTGCTTTGAAATTTAACTCATAGGAACTAAACTGGAGGTTTCCTATTCAAGTTCCAACCAAGACCGGCCCTGCTTAGCTTCCAAGACACAAATGGTACCTTTAGGGATTTATTATGAGACAATTTAAGACCTATCTCTTCCATGTTTTTACTGTGAATATTAAACTTATTTCATAGAATTATAGAATCAAAGAGTTGGAAGAGACCTCATGGGCCATCCAGTCCAACCCCATTCTGCCAAGAAGCAGGAATATTGCATTTAAATCACCCCTGACAGATGGCCATCCAGCTAAATTTAAATAATAATATGTTTAGTTATTGTTAATTTTTATTATTAAATTATTATTGTTGTTCATTCGTTCAGTCGTTTCCGACTCTTCGTGACTTCATGGACTTCATGGATAATTTATAATAATATAAATTATTATATGAAAGCTAAATTTAAATAATAATAATAATAATAATAAAAATTAATACTTATTAAATTATTATTAAAATCAAAGTTAAATTTAAATAATAATAATAAAAATTAATACTTATTAAATTATTATTAAAATCAAAGTTAAATTTAAATAATAACAACAATAATAAAATTAATACTTATTAAATTATTATTAAAATCAAAGTTAAATTTAAATAATAATAATAAAAATAATACTCATTAAATTATTATTAAAATCAAAGTTAAATTTAAATAATAATAATAAAAATAATACTCATTAAATTATTATTAAAATCAAAGTTAAATTTAAATAATAATAATAATAAATTAATACTTATTAAATTATTATTAAAATCAAAGTTAAATTTAAATAATAACAATAATAAAATTAATACTCATTAAATTATTATTAAAATCAAAGTTAAATTTAAATAATAATAATAATAATAATAAATTAATACTTATTAAATTATTATTAAAATCAAAGTTAAATTTAAATAATAATAATAAAATTAATGCTCATTAAATTATTATTAAAATCAAAGTTGAATTTAAATAATAACAATAATAATAAAATTAATACTCATTAAATTATTATTAAAATCAAAGTTAAATTTAAATAATAATAATAATAAAAATAATACTCATTAAATTATTATTAAAATCAAAGTTAAATTTAAATAATAATAATAATAATAATAAATTAATACTTATTAAATTATTATTAAAATCAAAGTTAAATTTAAATAATAATAATAAAATTAATACTCATTAAATTATTATTAAAATCAAAGTTAAATTTAAATAATAATCCATGCGTTTAATTTTTATTATTCAATAATCAATTATTATTATATGAAAGCTAAATTTAAATAATAATAATAATTAACAATTAATTGATACTTATTATTAAATCAGAATTATTAAAATTAAAGTTTAGTTTTAATAATAATTAATACACTTAATTATTATTAATGTTTATTATTAAATCATTATTATTATTAACATTAAAGTTTAGTTTTAATAATAATTAATACACTTAATTATTATTAATGTTTATTATTAAATCATTATTATTATTAAAATTAAAGTTTAGTTTTAATAATTAATATGCTTAATTATTATTAATATTTATAATTAAATCATTATTATTATTAACATTAAAGTTTAGTTTTAATAATAATCAATACGCTTAATTATTCTCAATATTTATTACTAAATCATCATTACTAAAATTAAAGTTAAAATTTAACAAGATTAATACGCTTAATTATTCTCAATATTTATTATTTAATCATTATTATTATTATTATTAAAATTAAAGTTTAGTTTTAATAATAATCAATACGCTCAATTAATATTAATATTTATAATTAAATCATTATTATTATCTAAATTAAAAGCTCAATTTATATTGCTGGTTTGTGTGCCTTCATGTTGCCTCTTACAGTTCAAGTTTCAAACTTCACTCAAGTTTCCAAGAGGAAGGTTAATTTGCATTTCCCAGGGCTGAAGGCCGACGCCGCCTCTTGATTGGCTGCTGGCTGCCGGCCGAAACTCCGCCCACCCCGTTTGATAACACTTTCAACGCCGCACGTGGAAAGAAGGGGCGGGGCCTAGAATCCTAGGCCACGCCTCCTTGATTCCCCCAAAGTTACATAAACAAACCTCAAAGGGCTGTGCAGGAGACCCTGGGAGAATCAGAAAGGAAGAGGAAGGAAGGGGGGGGTGGTCATTAATTAAGGTTTACCTCATTATCGTGGTAGCGCAGGTCATTCCTTAGCAAGCAGAGGGCTGTCCTGGGAAGCGAGGAAGCCATGGCTGCGGATAGAGAGAGAGAGAGAGGCGGGGACTGAGAAAGGCTGCAGGAAGCAGAAAGGGAGGAGCTTGGGTTGTTGTAGATTTTCTCGGGCTATATGGCCATGTTCTAGAGGCATTTTCTCCTGACGTTTCGCCTGCATCTATGGCAAGCATCCTCAGAGGTAGTGAGGTCTGTTGGAAGTAGGAAAATGGGTTTATATATCTGTGGAAAGACCAGGGTGGGACAAAGGACTTTTGTCTGCTGGAGCTAGGTGTGAATGTTTCAACTGACCACCTTGATTAGCATTTAATGGCTTGGAAGTGCCTGGGGAAATCTTTCTTTGAGAGGTGATTTGATGTGCCTGATTGTTTACTCTCTGTTGTTTTGCTGTTGTAATTTTTTCTATTTTCCTACTTCCAACAGACCTCACTACCTCTGAGGATGCTTGCCATAGATGCAGGCAAAACGTCAGGAGAAAATGCCTCTAGAACATGGCCATATAGCCTGGAAAACCTACAACAACCCAGTGATTCCGGCCATGAAAGCCTTCGACAATACATTAGCTGGGCTTTGTTCCCTGGCCTTTGTGTCTACAGCATTAAAAGTGGTATCAAACTGCATTAATTCAACAATGCAAATGCACTCAAAATTAACTAGGGCTTTGTTCCCTGGCGTTTGTGTCTACAGCACTAAGAGTGGTATCAAACTGCATTAATTCTACAGTGCAGATGCACTCAAAATTAACTGGGGCTTTGTTCCCTGGCCTTTGTGTCCACAGCATTAAAAGTGGTATCAAACTGCATTAATTCAACAGTACAGATGCACTCAAAATTAACTGAGGCTTTGTTCCCTGGCGTTTGTGTCTACAGCACTCAAAGTGGTATCAAACTGCATTAATTCAACAATGCAGATGCACTCAAAATTAACTGGGCTTTGTTCCCTAGCCTTTGTGTCCACAGCGCTAAAAGTGGTATCAAACTGCATTAATTCAACAATGCAGATGCACTAGGCTTGGTTCCCTTGTGAGTCACTGCAAACGTGCACAAGAAAGAAAGTATCCCAGACTATGGGACATTGTTGTGCCAGACAGGACTAAATATAAAACCTCATTGTGCTCCGAATCGAAAATCTTTGAGTGTGACTAACTATATCTGGTGAGTCACTTGGAAGGACATTTTTAATTATAGACACAATAACATGGAAGCTGAAGTGCTCAGCTTGCAAAAGGCTCTTTGGAGCAAAAGAATCTGGATAAAGCAAAACATAACATTATTTATTTGTTTGTTTATTAATCAATTTTATATACTGCCACTCCCCGAAGGCTCAGAGCGGTTTATAATATACACATGTGATACATTACATATAAGATCAAGAAAAACATCAGTCAGCAAAATTCAAATGCCACCCTAAATAAATAAGTTTTACAAGTCCTTCGACAATACAAAGTTTTACAAGCTCTATGAAAAGCAAGTAAATCTCCGAGAGCTCGTGTTCCCTCTGGCAAAGCATTCCACAGATAAGGAGCCACCACCGTGAAAGCTCTACGCCTAGTAGACAGTTGAATGGTCCTAAAATTGGGAACTTCAAGGAGATTCTGATCATCTGAACGAAGTGATCTTGGGGATTGGTAGGGGGTGAGGTGGTCCCTCAGGTACTCCAGCCCCAGGCCATATAAGGCCTTAAAGGTAAGAATCAGCACTTTGAAGGTAATCCGGTGCTCAATCAGCAATCAGTGCAGTTGCTACAAGATTGGAGTGATGTGGCACCTTGCTGGAACCCCTGCAAGAAGCCGGGCAGCAGCATTTTGCACTAGTTTAAGTTTCCGGATCACCGATAAAGGCAGGCCTATATAAAGGGCATTACAATAGTCCAGCTTTGAGATAACCATAGCTTGCGCACAATCCTGCAAGTACTGGAGATGCATCTATGTCACAAAAATTTAATATGCAGATTTGAGAAATGTGGATTTGATATAATGATGTGTGAGAATCCGAAAAATCCTGCAAATCTCTTGGGAAGACAAGCGGACAAATGTCAGCATGCTGGAAGAAGCAAAGACCACCAGCATTGAAGCGATGGTCCTCCGCCATCAACTCCACTGGACTGGCCACGTTGTCCGGATGCCCGACCACTGTCTCCCAAAGCAGTTGCTCTACTCTGAACTCAAGAACAGAAAATGTCGGACAGGAAAAGAGATTTAAAGATGGGCTCAAAGCCAACCTTTAAAACTCTGGCATAGACACTGAGCACTGGGAAGCCCTGGCCCTTGAGCGCTTCAGTTGGAGGTCAGCTGTAACCAGCAGTGCTGCAGAATTTGAAGAGAGACGAATGGAGGGCGAAAGAGAGAAATGTGCCAAGAGGAAGGCGTGTCAAGCCAATCCCGACCAGGACCGCCTTCCACCTGGAAATGGATGCCCTCACTGTGGGAGAAGATGCAGATCAAGAATAGGGCTCCACAGTCACCTACGGACCCACTGCCAGGATACTACACTTGGAGGACCATCATCTTCAGACTATGAGGGATCGCCTAAGTAAGTAAGTGTGAGAATGAATGGAAGGAGCAAGTTAATTTATTGTTAACGAATTTGTTAATGTGTTGTATAATGTTTTAAATTAAGTTTTACGGTTTTATTTAAAATGTTTATTGTATATGTTGATACCATCATTAATGCTTATGTGAGGCCGCCCTGAGTCCCCTTTGTGGGGAGAAGGGTGGGGGGGAGAAATGAAATGAAATGAAATAAATAAATAAGGATGAATGAATGAGTTGATAATTTTGGAGCTTGCAATGACTAACTACCTGGTGCTGGACTGTAATTAAAAGTTGCTAATAAGAGCTGAAAAGTAAACTCTGATAAGAATGGGGACAGTGATAACAGAAATGTTTACAATGTTAAGAAGGAAGTCAACATAAGTTGTCGTTGGCAGCCTTGGCCTTTGTAAGCCGCATCGAGTCCTTCGGGAGATTTTGTGGGGTATAAATAAAGTGAATAATAATAATAATAATAAGATCAACACCAATCAAGAAGATTAATATCTGGCCAGGAAACTGAGATGGGGCCAGGATGGAAGGAATCTATCATTAATTTACAAATTTGGGACTACATCAGCAGAATTTTCCTATAAAAGACTCAGTCTAGTAATGCTCAGAGTGTGACAGACCTGAGGAGTCTGTTTCACCTGCTATGCTTCGCAGTCTCTGAGGATGCTTGCCACAGATGCAGGCGAAACATCAGGAGAGAATGCTTCTAGACCATGGACATACAACCCGAAAAATCTACAGCAACCCAGTGATTCCAGCCATGAAAGCCTTCAACAATAACACAGTTTTGATATCACATTAATCTGCCTTGGCTCTGTGATATGGAATCAGGGGAGATGTAGTTTGGCAAAGCACTTTTGACAGGGAAGGCTGAGAAGCTTGCAAAACTTCCAGGATTACATGGCACTGTACTGTCACATGGTAATTAAAGTGGCATCACACTGCATTATTTATTTATTTATTTATTTCGGTCATTTCTACCCCACCCTTCTCACCCCTAGGGCATTAATTCTACAGTGTAAGGTAAAGGTTTCCACCTAACATTATGTCCAGTCGTGTCCAACTCTGGGGGTTGGTGCTCATCTTCATTTCTAAGCCAAAGAGCCGGCGTTGTCCAAGGTCATGTGGTTAGCATGACTGCATGGAGCACCGTTACCTTCCACCCAGAGTGGTACCTATTGATCTACTCACATTTTGCATGTTTTCGAACTGCTAGGTTAGGAGAATCATAGAATCAAAGAGTTGGAAGAGACCTCATGAGCCATCCAGTCCAACCCCATTCTGCCAAGAAGCAGGAATATTGCATTCAAATCACCCCTGACAGATGGCCATCCAGCCTCTGTTTAAAAGCTTCCAAAGAAGGAGCCTCCACCACACTCCAGGGCAGAGAGTTCCACTGCTGACTGGCTCTCACAGTCAGGAAGTTCTTCCTCATGTTCAGATGGAATCTCCTCTCCTGTAGTTTGAAGCCATTGTTCCGCGTCCTAGTCTCCAGGGAAGCAGAAAACAAGCTTGCTCCCTCCTCCCTGTGGCTTCCTCTCACATATTTATACATGGCTATCATATCTCCTCTCAGCCTTCTCTTCTTCAGGCTAAACATGCCCAGCTCCTTAAGCGCTCCTCATCGGGCTTGTTCTCCAGACCCTTGATCATTTTAGTCGCCCTCCTCTGGACACATTCCAGCTTGTCAATATCTCTCTTCAATTGTGGTGCCCAGAATTGGACACAATATTCCAGGTGTGGTCTAACCAAAGGAGAATAGAGGGGTAGCATTACTTCCCTAGATCTAGACACTAGACTCCTCTTGGTGCAGGCCAAAATCCCATTGGCTTTTTTTGCCGCCACATCACATTGTTGGCTCATGTTTAACTTGTTGTCCACGAGGACTCCAAGATCTTTTTCCCACGTACTGCTCTCGAGCCAGGCATTGTCCCCCAATCTGTATCTTTGCATTTCATTTTTTTCTGCCTAAGCGGAGTATTTTGAAGCTGGAGCTAACAGCGTAAGCTCACCCCATTCCTCAGGTTTGAACTGGCGACCTTTCATTCAGTGAGTTCAGCAGCTCAGCGGTTTAACCCACTGTACTACAGGGGGCTCCTTCTATCTACAGTGTAGATCCACCCAAAGGCTCAATTATGAGTTTGGTATATATTCCTAAGAGAGCCAGCATGGTATAATGGTTTCATAGAGTATTGACCCTGCCGTTGCTGTGAGTTTTCCGGGTTGTCTGGCCATGTTCCAGAAGCATTCTCTCCTCAGGTTTCACTTGCATCTATGGCAGGCATCCTCAGAGGTTGTGAGGTATTTTGGAAACTAGGCAAGTGAGGTTTATATATCAGAGGAATAATGTCCAGGGTGGAAGAAAGAACTCTTTTCCTGGAGATAAGTGTGAATGTTGCTATTGGCCTCCTCGATTAGCATTGAATGGCCTTGCAGTTTCAAAGCCTGGCTGGTTGCTGGACCACTCTAACAACACAAAAATTCTGGACCATTCTTAC